CTTGTCCCCAACAAGGTCTCCCATGTCCCCATCTCCTCCGCCTTCGAGGTGGTGGTGAGGGTGCCTTGAAGGTATCTGTCAAGGGTGCCTCCGTGAGCCACCCCAAAACTCCCAGAGCAGATGTTCTCCCAGCACCCCTCTGGGAACGTGGGCCTGCCGCCTGCCAGCTCCCCGACACCCATCTCCATCCCACCCCACAGGGACACGTTGTCTTTGACGCCAGTGGCTCCCGCATGGCCTGGACGCTCATTGAGCAGCTGCAAGGTGAGTGAGCAGAGGCAGCAGCCATCCCAGGGTGACACGGTCACCACGTGGCACGTGGCGAGCACCACCGAGCATCCCGCAACGCCCCCTTCACACACAACAGCCGCGGCTTGGCCGTTGCGGCCAGGTTGTCCGCACAACAGTAGCATCCAACCGCCCCGAGACGCACCCCGCAAGTCCCACCACTGCACGAGCTCTCAAGGGGTGGCAACACACATGGGACAACCCCCCCTTCTCCACACCCTTTTGGCCACGTGCCCAACAGGACGCGTGTCCTCACCAACACACAACTGCTCTTGCACGTGACGGAGGGAGGAGCAGAGGTGGAGGCGGCTTGAGGGACAAGCAAGGAGCTTGGGACAAGAAAGTCATCAAGAGTAGTCGTCGTGGATTCACCAAGGAGAAGTCATGGTTGACCAACGTCACCAGCTTCTACGGGCTTGGTAGATGAGGGGAGAGTGGTGGACGTTGTCTACCTTGGCTTCGGGAAGGTTTTCTACGCTGTCTCCCAGAAGATCCTCGCAGAGAAGCTGATGAAGTCTGGGCTGGATGAGGAGACAGTGGGGTGAACTGAAAACTGGCTGAATGGCGGGGCCCAGGGGGTGGGGACCAGCGGCAGAAGGTCCAGTTGGAGGCCAGTGCACCACAGGGGTCAAGAGTGGGGCCAGTCCTGTTCAACATCATCAGTGATCTAGATGATGGTACCTTCAAGCCAGTTTGCTGATGACACCAAACTGGGAGGAGCGGCTGAGATGCTGGAGGGCCACGCTGCCACTCAGAAGGACCTTGGCAGACTGGAGAAGTGGGCTGAGAGGAACCTCATGAGATTCAACAAGGAAACACGCTCCAGGGACAACTCCAGGCACTAGGACAGGCTGGGGCTCAACCAGCTTTGCAGAGAAGGTCCTGGGCGACCAGGACACCAAGTTGACCATGAGTCAGCGATGTGGCCTTGTGGCAAAGGTGGCCAACGGTCTCCTGAGCTGCATCAGGAGGAGTGGTGGAGCAGGTCAAGGAGGTGATCCTTCCCCTCTGCTCAGCACTGGTGAGGTGGGGCCAGTGCTGGGCTCCCTGGTACAAGAGAGCTACTGGAGAGCATCCAGCAAAGGGCCACGAGGATGACGAAGGGCCTGGAGCACAGGAGGCTCCAGCTGAGCATCCGAAACCCCTTTTTCATGGTGCAGGTGACCAAGCAGTGGCAGAAGGTGCCCAGAGAAGTGGTACAGTCTCCGTCCTTGGAGACGTCCAAACACTGCATGGATGTGGTCACGGACAACGGGCTCTGGGTGGTCCTGCTTGAGAGAGCGTTGGCCCAGATGACCCCCAGAGGTCCCTTCCAGCCCCCAACCAGTCTGTGATCCTGTGGGGGTGTGCACACACGCTGGAGGGGTGTCGCTTCTCCTTCCCTCCCACCTGACCCGTCTCTGCTGCCCTTGCAGGAGGTGTCTACAAGAAGATCGGCTACTACGACAGCACCAAGGACAACCTGTCCTGGTATAACAACGACAAGTGGATTGGTGAGCAGTGCCACGGGTGGGGCGTGAGCGGGGGGGTCCCTGCCGTGGGGAAGGGTTGGGAAGAACCCCCCACACCCCCTAATTGTGCCGTGGGCTCTGCAGGAGGTGCCCCTCCAGCCGACTACACCAAGGTCATCACCACCTTCCGATTCCTGTCCCAGAAGCTCTTCATCTCCGTCTCGGTGCTGGCCTCGCTGGGCATTCTCCTGGCCATCATCTGCCTGGCTTTCAACATCTACAACGGGCACGTTCGGTCAGTGACACCCCCATTTTCCCGGTGTTTGGGGAAATGTCACACCTTTCCTTTCCCAGAGCTGCTAAAAAACCCCTCAGCAGCATGTGGTTAGCAACACCCAGAGGGAAAAAAAGGATTATGTGCTCCCATGTCCTCCTACAGAAGATGGCAGTGACGAAACGTTGTTGTTAGTAGATATCCCAGTTGCCCGTCTCGCTGTGTAGGAGCTTCAGGTGATACCAAGGGTCTGGCTGTAGCACATGGTTTCCTGTTCTCTCGCTTTGCGCCCCCATTTCTGGCGCCCTGTTGGGTTCGTTGACCGTGTGGGTGACACCCCGTCTTCTCAGCAACCCGCCCCCCTCTCCAGGTACATCCAGAACTCACAGCCGTACCTGAACAACATGACGGCTGTGGGCTGCACGTTGGCTCTTGCTGCCGTCTTCCCCCTGGGACTTGACGGGTACCACATCGGGCCGGGGCTTTTCCCTTTCGTCTGTCAGGTATGGGGCTGGGGGGGGGGGGCGTTGGGGGGTACAGGTGAAGTGGGGACAACCCGGGGGTGGGGACAGCCAAAGGAGGAAGAGCCAGGAGATGGGGACAACCGGAGGAGGAACGGTTGGGGTTACAGCCAGGGGATGGGGACAAGCGGAGGGGGACACTGCTGAGAGTAGATCCGGGGACTTGTGAAGGTGTTGGCCAAGGGAGGTCCATGGGAGGGGGGGTACACTCCATGGGGGCGCAGCAGAGGTGGGTACAGCTGGACAGGGAGGTACAACCGTCTCTTCCCGACCCCTGTACCCTCCACAGGCCCGGCTGTGGCTCCTCGGGCTGGGGTTCAGCCTGGCGTATGGCAGCATGTTCACCAAGATCTGGTGGGTCCACACCGTCTTCACCAAGAAGGAGGAGAAGAAGGAGAAGAGGAAGGTGAGGAGCGACCCAGTGGGGTGTGGGGAGACTGGTTGGGGGGCTGGGGGGGGGGGGGGGGGGTAGCACAGTGTCTCAGTGACGCTGTGTTGTCCCCACACCCAGACCCTGGAGCCTTGGAAGCTGTACGCCACCGTGGGGCTACTTGTGGGGCTGGATGTGGTCACGCTGATCATCTGGCAAATCGTGGACCCTCTGCACCGCACCATTGAGGTGGGGCACTGCTGGGGAGGTGGGGGGGGGGGGGGGGGGGGCGTGGCTCATGATGTTGGGGGGATTACTCAAGGTGTTGGGGTGCTGCTGCGGGGATGGGCACGGCCCCAGGGTGCTGCTGGAGAGATGCTTGTGGCATCAAGGTGCTGCTGGGGGGATGCTCATGGTGTTGAGGGGGTGTTATCGTGTCAGGGGGATGCTCAGGGCATTGGGGTGCTGCTGGGGGGAGCCCCCCCCCCCCCTCACACCCCGTCTCCCACCCTGTCACCCCCAGGAGTTCACCAAGGAGGAGCCCAAGACGGACACAGACGTCTCCATCCTGCCCCAGCTGGAGCACTGCAGCTCCACCAAGATGAACACGTGGCTCGGTGGGCATGGGGGGGTCGGGGGGGTGGGAGATGGGCAGGGGCAGGACTGAAGGGGGGGTACAGGCAGGGTTGGGGACACGGGCGCGTTGTAGAGAGCCAAGGGGAGACCCAGGCACCCGCAGGGGCTGGGGGAGGGGGGGTGTGTCTCTGTTTGACCACCCGTGGGGCCCCCCACCCTGAGCCAGGTGGGTGGGTCTGACCACTCCTGGTTCCCCCCCCAGGGATATTTTATGGCTTCAAGGGGTTGCTGCTGCTGTTGGGCATCTTCCTGGCGTACGAGACCAAGAGCGTGTCGACGGAGAAGATCAACGACCACCGAGCGGTGGGCATGGCCATCTACAACGTAGCGGTAAGCTGGGGTGGCTGTGTGTGTGTCCCCACCATCTTCACCCCACATCCCATACGGTGACCCCCCAAAAACATCCCCCCCCCTTCCTCCCCGCAGGTCCTCTGCCTCATCACGGCGCCCGTCACCATGATCCTCAGCAGCCAACAGGACGCGGCCTTCGCCTTCGCTTCGTTGGCTGTCGTCTTCTCTTCGTACATCACCTTGGTCGTCCTCTTCGTCCCCAAGGTGCTGGTCGGTGGGGGAAGGGCTGGTGGGGTCTGGGCGTTTCTTCTGGGGTGGGAAGGAACAGTCGTCCTACATCCTCCCTCATAGCGTCAAGGTGTTGCCCTTGCAGCCGTGGAGGTTTCTTCTCCAGTGGGGTCATGGAGTTGGTGGTGACAGTCAGAAGGGGACACGGGGGACAGTCGGGCGCGGGTGTTGCCTTGAGGGGGACAATGTTGACAGTCGGGGGCCGTTGCAGATGCGACGCCTCATCACCCGGGGCGAGTGGCAGTCGGAGCAGCAGGACACCATGAAGACGGGCTCGTCCACCAACAACAACGAGGAGGAGAAATCCCGACTGTTGGAGAAGGAGAACCGGGAGCTGGAGAAAATCATCGCCGAGGTGGGTGTGGGGGGAAACCCCAAAACGTGGTTTGGGGGTGGACGCCCCATGGAGGTGGGCTGTAGCTTCAGGGTTGTAGCTTCAAGGCGTTGCTACCCATGCCAAGAGGGGTAGATCACCTTTGGGGCACCGACACCCCAACGGGAGCATCATCCCCCCCCCCCTCCCCAATTTGTCACCTGGCAGAAAGAGGAACGTGTGTCGGAGCTCCGCCAGCAGCTCCAGGACCGCCAGCAGCTCCGGTCTCGCCGACGGTCGTCCAACCCTTCCCAGGAGGCTGACAACCATTTCTCCCCGGGGTTGAGCGCCACCCCGGCCCCCCCGGCCCCCTTCTACCAACCCAACCTCCCCCTGGTCCGCTGCCTGGTCTCGGAACAAGCCGACAAGCTCGGCCGGGGTAACTGCGACGGGAGCCGTGTCCATCTCCTCTACAAGTGACCCTCACAGGGGGCGGAGCTCTTTGCTGCGGGGTGGGGGGCAGTGGGTGGGGCTAGGCAGGGAGGGCGGAGCCTCTTTGCCTTATTAATTATTTTTTTTTTAAAACACGTTTCTTCGTCTTAACCTGGGGGACCACGGCTCTGGCAGCGTCACCCCCTCACCCCGCAGGGCTCCGGGTGTCGCCCACCCTCCGACTGTTGTCAGGTGGGAAGCGATGGGGTGTTGGGGAAGAAGGGTGGCTCTTAATTAAGGGGGGGGGAGGTGGGGGGCCAGGACTGAGTTAACGACATGGGAAGTCCCCCCCAAACTCCTCCGTAGCCATCCCATCTCCCTCTCTCACTCCAGCCATAGCGCACAGTCCGACAGTCCCGCTGACTTGTCCTCCTCCAGCCCCTCCCTGCTACAGCCACACGACGTCCCCGCCCTTGCCCCGCACCGTTGCGCACAACCGGAGCTCAGCTCCTGGGGTAGCAAACCACCAACCTTTTAATTCCCATGTAAATTAGTGTTGATACAGGTGATGGGGGTGGAGGGTGGGGGGAAACGCAGGATCAGGCCCCGGGGCTGCGGGTGGTTGTATCGCAAGCAGCAATTCCTGTAGTTTAATGTCAGGCTGTAGTGTACGACCAAGTCTAGTTAAGTCTAGTCAGACTGTAGTGCACAACTTGTACGTACAATCAAATCGAATTGCACATCAGGATCAGTTACTGCAATGCACGGGCCGGCTGTAGCCAATGGCTGGTTTGGGATCAGTTGTTGGTACAATCAGATTTGGGGTTTATGCTGTATTGTCCGACTGTCGCTCACAACCAGCTCTGGAGCACAGTTGGAGGGGCTGGGGCTGTACGTTGGGGCACAGCGTTAGGTCGGGTCCTGTATGCGCAGACTGTTGTATCCGTGGGGTCTGGTTTCTCATCTGTACAGTCGCACTTTAGTGGACAACCAGATCCTGCTTCTTCTCATGTCTCTGTTGTGGTGTTTAACCATGAAAGGGGAACTACACCGTATCGCAACCATCGGGCTTGGGTCCTTCCCTGGACCAAGGGCACCCCGGTACGGCCGGAGAGCTGTAGCCAGCTCCCAGTCATCCTCAGGCAGTTGGGCTGTTTTGGGGTGACAACACCGAAGAAAGGATCAGGCTGCTCCTGGGTCTGGTGGTTTCTGGGTCCGGCTGTTCCTGGGTCCGGTGGTTTCTGGATCTGGCTGTTCCTGGGTCTGGCTGTTCCTGGTCCCAGCCCGTCCAGCACCCATTACAACCACCCCAGCTGCCTTCAGGGTGACGGTGTTCACAGCCACGCACCCCACACGTCTTTGCTTTGACGTTACCCCCACCCACAAAACCCAGGTGGGGGGCCCTGCCCCCTACGCCCAGGCAGCTGCGGTACCGGGTCCAACCCTCCCCGCACCCACCCCCACAACACACACCAGCAGCAAACACCGTCCCTACCCCGCGCCACCAGTACCGGGGACGGCGCCGATAGGGGCTGGGGAAGGTGGTGGCTGTGCCAGGCACCAGGGGAGGGTGCAAAGGGGGGGGGGGGAAGGGGGAAATTAGACACCCCCTGAACCCCCCTATACCAAGGACACGGGTGTCCCAGGTGGGTGGATCCCCGCTCCTCTCCCTTTGCTGAACCAAAATCGGTGATTTACAGCCCAAAAATCCAGCCCACAACCACAGGACTCTGGGGGGGGGGGGGGGGGAAAGAACCAGGGCAGTCAGCTTCTGGGAAAACCTGTGAAATACAGGGGAGACAGGGCTGCCCCCCCCCCCCAAAATCTTGACCCTGGGGGTCACTCCCCCCCGAGCCATGGGTGGGCGAGGGCACGAGCAACGGGGGGAGCAAAGATTTGTCACCATGAGGGGGTCCCCCAGATGGAAGGGGGGGGGGGCTCCTCTCAATAGGGGGGCCAGCCCTGCTTTCCCCAGGTGCTGTTTGGCAGCAGCCCCCCCTCCCCGCACGCCCCGGGCTGGAGGAAGAAGAGGAAGACTCCGCAGAATGCCAAGCCCCCTCCCACCGTCAAGGCCACCGCCAAGGCCACCGCTCGGCACAGAGACCACCGGCCGGAGAGCCGGGGCCAAGCCCCGTTGGGGGGCGCGGGGGGGGGCTCAGGTCGCCCCAATTCCAGGCTGAGGGTGACAGTGGGGAGCTGAGCGGGGGGCTTGGGGCGAGGGGGGGGGACGTAGAGGAGCCCCTTGGGGCGGTTGAAGCGGACGGAGGCAGTGGGGCCGGGGGGGAGGAGAGCCAGGAGATGGGGGGGGGTGGGCAAAGCCGGGGGGCCGCGGCGGGGGGGCAAAGGCGTGGGGCGGCGGCAGAGGGGGCAGAGCAAGGTGGGGGCGGCGGGGGCCACCAGGGTGACCCTGGCCAAGCATTCGAGGCAGAAGGTGTGACCGCACCCCAAAACCTTGGGCACCTTGAAGAGGCGATCGTAAGGGGCGAAGCAGATGACGCAATCCAGGGGGGGGACCCCCTCGGCGTCCCCCCCCGGGACCCCTTGGGTGTCCCCAGCCATGGCAGGGGCCCTGGCAGGTAGGGAAAAAAAAAAAAAAAAAAAAAAAAAAAAAAGAGAAAAAAAAAAATCAAAATTGAGAGAGCATTTAGCCAGCAGTGATTAAGCGCAGCTCAGGGTGTGGGGTTGGGACAGCGAATTTATGGGGTATCCTGAGCCAAACCGCCCCCCCACACGCACACTTTGGGGTGCCAAGAGCCCCCCCTTGAAGAGAACAAGCCCCTCTGGAGAACCCAACACCCCCCCCCCCCCAATAGTCTGGGGAGGGCTGGGTCCAAATTTCCAGGTGGAAGTAGCAGCACCCGCAGCTGTTCCCAGCAAAGCCAGCACCCCCTCCCACCCACCCCCACCCCCCCTCAATTTGGGGGGGGTCTCGAGCTCAGCCCCCCCCCCACCCCTCACCTGCACCCCCCCGAGGTGCCGCTCGCCTCCGGGATCGCGCAGGACCTTGGCCACCGTCACACCCACCGCAGTTGCCCTGCCCCTGCCCGCGTGAGCCGGGGCGGGGGGGTGGCACACCCCCCCCAACTCCCCAAACCGCACCCCCACCCCCCACCCCCCGAATTTGGGGAGCACCCCTAAACCCCACACTGGCCTTAGCGGGGGTCCTGAGCCACCGAGGAGCCGGTTCCCAAAGCAGATCCTGCCCCCCCCCGCCGTGGGGAGGGGCCGGATCCATCCCAGCTCTATTTATTAGGAGCTTTTCTTCCGCCTTCTGCCCCTTCCCAGTACTGGGTGTCCCCGCCCTGGGAAAAACGGTGCAAAAAGGGAGGGGGGGGGGCCATGACAGCAAGGGAGCACCCCAACCCTTCCCTGGGGGGCAGGAATGAGGCAGGGCTGGCTGAGGCTTGGGGGGGGGGGCACACAGGCAGGACAGAGTCACAGCCAGGGGTCAGCACATTGCAGGGGACCCCACCGCGGGGAGGGGGGGGGGTGGGTGTGTGTCCCCAAAGCCCACAATACAAGGAAAACTATGGGGGGGACACAGACATACAGAGAAAGTGAATTTTATTTGGGGGGGGGGGGGACAACGGTGGCTTTTTAACGGTTGGACTTGGCCACACGTTCCAGCTCGTCCTTCTTCTTGATGGCGTAGGAGTTGGAAGAGCCCTGAGGGGGAAGAGGGGGGGTGAAATGGGTGTAAAAAAATCAGCGTTTCGGGGGGGTGGGGGGGGAAGGAGGTGACAGCCCTGTCCCTCTGTGTGCCCCCCCCCTCCCCGTCCTCACCTTGGCAGCGTTGATGAGTTCGTCGGCCAAACACTCGGCGATGGTTTTGATGTTGCGGAAAGCGGCTTCGCGAGCTCCGGTGCACAACAGCCAGATGGCCTGGGGGGGGGACACCACACACACACACAAAAAAAAGGGGCATCAGGGACATGGGGGGGGTGACAGCCCCCTCGGGGTTTAGGGGTGAAGGGGGGAGGTACCTGGTTGACGCGGCGCAGCGGGGACACGTCTACAGCCTGCCTACGGACGGTGCCGGCGCGGCCGATGCGGGTCGAGTCCTCGCGGGGTCCGGAGTTAATGATGGCGTTAACCAGGACTTGCAGGGGGTTCTGCCAGAGGGAGAAATCAGCCCCCCCGTGCCCAAAAAGCACCCTAAAAAAAACCCAACAAAACCACCTCTCCCCAAACCCAAACCCACCCCAACAGTAGCCAAAAAAAAAAACAAACCTCCCCAGCGCCCTAAAACAACCCGTAACATCCCCTCCGTGCCTCAAAACCTCCCCAGCGCCCAAATCCGCCTGCCTGGTGCCCAAAAAATGCCCCCCAGCACCCAGAAACACCTTCCTGGTGCCCCAAAATACTTCCCCAGCACCCAGAAATAGCCCCCCCCCCCCGACCCTGCGCCCAAAAGAATGTCCCCAGCAGCCACGAATACCCCCAGTGCCCAAAAAAACCCCCCCAGCACCTAAACCCACCCCCTTGGTGCCCCAAAAAACGCCCCCCAGCATCCAAAAACATCCAAACCCACCTTGTTGGTGCCCAAAACAACCTCCTCAGCAGCCAAAAATAACTCCCCAGCACCTAAACACACCCTTTGGTGCCCCAAAATCACCCAAACCCCATCGTCGTCCCAAAAAAACCTCCCCAGAATCCAAACCCACCCCATGGTGTCCCCAAAACACCCAAAACCACCCCTACAGGGCCCAAAAAACCCTCCCAAGAACCCAAAACCACCCAAACCCGCCCCCCCTCCACGCCCAAAAAAACCTTCCCAGCACCCAGAAACACGCAAACTCACCCCCCTCTGGGACCCCAAAAACACCAAAACCCACCCTGTTGGTGCCCAAAAAAACCTCCCCAGCACCCAAACCCAACCTCTGGTGCCCCAAAACCACCCCAACCCACCCCTTTGGTACCCAAAAAACCTCCCCAGCACCCAAAATCACCCTCTGGTGCCCCAAAACCACCCAAAGCCACCCCTCTGGTGCCCAAAACCCCTCCCCAGCACCCAAAAAGACCCCAACCCCACTCCCCCAGCCCCCTTCTCACCTCCCCGGTGAGCAGATGGATGATCTCGAAGGCGTGCTTAACGATGCGCACGGTCATTAATTTCTTGCCGTTGTTCCGGCCGTGCATCATCATGGAATTGGTGAGTCGCTCGACGATGGGGCACTGGGCTTTACGAAAACGCTTGGCCGCGTAACGCCCGGCGCTGTGGGGCAGGTACTTGGCATATTTTTCCTTCACAGCGATGTAATCCTGGCGGGGTACGACGTCAAGACTCCTCCCGGCGATGGGAGGGAGGCAGCAACCCCCTGGACACCCCACTTTTCCTCCCCTAACGCCCCCCCCCCCAATAATACCTGGAGGGAGATGTCGTTGATCTGCACGTCGTCAGTGCTCCATTTGCCGAAGAGTTTGATGTCCGGGGTCTCGGTGACGGCGGGGGCCGTCTCCCAGTCGGTCATGCTGCCGAAAGAGAGCAATAGGGGTCAGGAAAAATGCCTGTCCCACACTTTAATCCCCCCCCCCCCCCCATAATCAGGCAGGTTTAAATCAAAATGGTTTTAATTAAAAAGAAAAAAAAAACGAGCACCTGCAGATCCCAGTGAGGTTAAACGCCCTTCCCAGTGTAAACTGGGGGGACGGTGTGTGGCAAAGGGGTGTCCCCATCAATGAGGGGGGTGTGTCCCCCCCCTCCCCGAGGGTCTCGTGTTTGTGGGTGTTACGGGGCACGTGAGGAAAGGGCTCGGGGCTGGGACAGTCGCACAGTCCCAGCGTTACTGGTGAGCCAAGCCCGGCTGTGGGGAGGGGGGGGAAGAGGGAAAGCCCAACCACTTGGACACCCCCAATTCCTTCCACACACCCCCCAGCTACCCCAGGAATCCTCCACGCTCCTTCAAGACAGCCCCCCCCCCCCTCCCCCAGCTCACCCCTCCAGCAGAAGGGTCACCAAGGTCCCCCCCAAAGAGGCACAGCCATCTCCTCCCCCAACTCAAACCTCAGACACCCCCCCCCAGCTCTGAGCCCCCCAATTCCCACCTCATGCCCCCCCCCAAGCCCTGAGCCCCTAACTCCCACCTCAGGGCCGCCCCCCAGCTCTGAGCCCCTCAACTCCCACCTCAGGGTGCCCCCCCCAAACCCTGAGCCCCCCAACTCCCCTCAGGGCCCAGCCCCAAGCCCTAAGCCCCCCAACACCCATCTCAGGGCCGCCCCCCAGCTCTGAGCCCCCCAACTCCCACCTCAGGGTGCCCCCCCCAAACCCTGAGCCCCCCCAACTCCCCTCAGGGCCCAGCCCCAAACCCTGAGCCCCCCCAACCCCCACCTCGGAACCCCCCCCCAGCCCCCGCCCCACGGTCCCCACACCCCCCAGGCCCAGGCCCGGGGACCCCCGGTCCCGCCGCACTCACGTGGCGGCGGCGGCGGCTCCGCGGAAGAAAAAGGGCCCCGGCGGGGTCTCCCGGCCTCTTATCCAGGGGCAGCCGCGCACTTCCGCCCGCGCATGCGCAGACTCCCCGCGTGGCCCCGCGCTTCCGCCCGTTCCGCCCTCGCCGCGCCCGCTGGCCGGGGAGCTTTGCGCATGCGCCGTGAAGCTGCAGCGGCCATGTCTGTTGAGGGCGCCTGCCCAAACGCCGCCATGTGAAGGGGGCAGTTCTCTCTGGGGGGGGGAGACAGGAGACACGCGTGAGGGGGAGGAGACGGTGGGGTCAGGGAGCCCTAAGCGGGCGCGGAGGGGGCGGAAAAACGGGCTCTCGTGGGTGGGCTTGGAAGGGGAGGGGACCCCAGAGGCTGCAGCGGCGATTGGCGAGGCCACCTCCCATCCACCAATCACGACTCGCACTGCGCCTGACGTCACTGGGTGCCAGGCAGATCCCGGCCGCGCGGGAGGCGAGAAACGAAACCGAAAGGGCGGGGGAGGGGGGAGACACGACACACAGGGGACCCCCAGGGACCCCCCCCCAGGGACCCCGCCACCCTCCGGGACCCCCCGGGCCAGCGCAGCTCTCAGCACCCCCGGACCCCTCCTCAGGGCCCGAGACGCCCCCACGCGTGTGTGTGTGTCCCCACGGACCCCTCCCCAGCCCCAGACCCCCCCCCAGGGTCCCGCTCCTGTCCCCCTCCTCGGGGCCACCGGCGTCCTGTCCCCTCGCGGGGGGGGCGGCACGGGGGGGACGACCCAGGCGTCCGGTGCCCCACGGGCTCTCCCCACCACGGGGGGATTTGGGGTGAAAAAGCCAGGAAAGTGGCAAAATAACCCCCGCAAGTGCGGGCACCCCCGGGGCTCGTAGCAAGTGTCGTTAACCTCCAGTGTCCCCCATGGCCGGTGTCCCCTGTGCCCAATGTCCCTTGTGCCCGGTGTCCCTTGTGCTCGATGTCACTCGTGCCTGGTGTCCCTCATGCCCGGTGTCCCTTGTGCTCAATGTCCCCTGTGCCCGATGTCACTTGTGCCCAGTGCCCCTTGTGCTCAATGTCCCTCGTGCCCAGTGTCCCCTGTGCCCGGTGTCCCCTGTGCCCGGTGTCCCTTGTGCCCAATGTCCCCTGTGCCCGGTGTCCCCTGTGCCCGGTGTCCCCTGTGCCCGATGTCCCTTGTGCCCTGTGTCCCTTGTGCTCGATGTCACTCGTGCCCGGTGTCCCTCATGCCCGGTGTCCCTTGTGTTCAATGTCCCCTGTGCCCGATGTCACTTGTGCCCAGTGCCCCTTGTGCTCAATGTCCCTCGTGCCCGGTGTCCCCTGTGCCTGGTGTCCCCTGTGCCCATTGTCCCCCGTGCCCAGTGTCCCCCGTGCCCACCCCCCCGTGGTGTCACCCCCCACCCCGCAGCCCTTCCCCGCTCCCAAACCACCGCGGCACCGCGAGGCCACCCTGGAGCATCTTTATTATCGGCACCACGGCGTCACCACCCCCCAGGGGGGCAGCGGGGGGGGGCACACACACACGACACCATCGGGGCCGGGCAGTGACCATCCTGGGGGTCCTCAGGTGCTGCCTGGGGGGTGACATGGGAGTGGCAGAAGGGGTGACACCCCCCTTGGGGACAGGGGACGGGGACGGGCTGGGTGCGCCAGTACCTGCGGGGTAGTTGTCTCCGGGGAGGGGAGTGTAACCTGCAAGAGGGAGCAGAGGGGGTGAGGAGGGTTTGTGTCCCCCCAGGCCGCTGTCCCTGTCCCCCGTGTGTCCCCCCCCCCAGGTCACTGTCCCCATCCCTCACCCGGTGCCGGGGGCCTGGCCCGGTAATGGTAGACGCCGACGATGAAGAAACCGAGCCCCAACGCCATCACCACGGTGGCCGCGGCCACTTTCAGCGTCAACCCCGGTGACAAGCCGGGACCTGGTGGGGACACAGCGGGGGGGGGGGGAAGCAATGAGGTGTGCCGAGGACCCAGGCGGTTGGGTGGGGGTCGGGGGGGGTGTGTGTGTGGGGGGGGGGTGTCCCCCCAAAAGCGACTCACTCCACTCCTCCAGGAGCGGCTGGTCCAGGCTGGCGTGTAGCACCGAGCAGGTGAAGGTGTCGCCGGCCACCGGAGCCACCGCCAAGGTCACGCGCGTCTGGTAGGTCCAGTCGCCGTCGGGGACGGCGGAGATGGGGGGGTGCTCGCTGGGCCCCACGACGTCCCCGTTGCGCAGCCAGATGACCGTCACCTCGCGGGGGTAGAAGCCCCAAACGTGGCAGGTGAGGAGGACGGGCGCCCCGGCGTTGCCGATTTTGGAGGGGATGATGCGGGCTTGGGGCGGCGCTGGGATGAGGAGGGGGGGAGACTCACTGCTGGGGTGACACCCCCCCCCCCGCTCCCCCCATCTCCTCGTGCTCCCAACCCCGTGCTGTGCGTGATGCACAGGGTCACCGTGCAACGTGCAACGCAACGGCCCCATGCAGAGCGCCGTGCAATGCACAGTGCAACATCCCCACGTAATGTGCAACGCAGCAGCCCTGTGCAAAGCCCAGTGCAGTGCTCAGCGCAACATCCCTGTGCAACGTGCAACGCAACGGCCCTGTGCAAAGCCCCGTGCAATGCTCTGTGCAACATCCCTGTGCAACGTGCAGCGCAACGGCCCTGTGCAAAGTGCCGTGCAATGCTCTGTGCAACATCCCTGTGCAACGTGCAACGCAACGGCCCTGTGCAAAGTGCCGTGCAATGCACAGTGCAACATCCCCACGTAATGTGCAATGCAATGGCCCTGTGCAAAGCCCCGTGCAGTGCTCAGTGCAACATCCCTGTGCAACGTGCAACGCGACGGCCCTGTGCAAAGCCCAGTGCAATGCTCTGTGCAACATCCCTGTGCAACGTGCAACGCGACGGCCCTGTGCAAAGCCCTGTGCAATGCTCTGTGCAACATCCCTGTGCAACGTTCAACGCGACAGCCCTGTGCAAAGTGCCGTGCAATGCACAGTGCAACATCCCCATATAATGTGCAATGCAATGGCCCTGTGCAAAGCCCAATGCAGTGCTCAGCCCACCATCCCCACGCAACGTGCGCCGCAGCGGCCCCCGTGCAAAGCCCCGTGCACGCCCCCCCCCGCCCCACGCCAAGCCCCCGTGGGCCGCGTGGCTCACCCCGCCGCAGCGCCGCGGAGGCCCAAACGCGGGGGACCAGCTGGCTGCAGGCCCGGCGCCGGGCTTCGGCGCGCTGCACCCAGGCGGTGCCGTTGTTGAGGGCGGCGGCCACCAGCGCGGCGGCGCAGCGGAGCACCCCGAAATCGCAGGGGTCGAAGCGCCGGGCGTCGGGGTCGTAGCAGACCAGCGGGTTCTTGTTGAAGACGAGGGTGAAGGTGAAGGCCAGCACGGAGCCGTTGGCCGCCAGCGGGCAGGAGCTGGCCACGTGCACCACGAAGGCGCCTGCGAGGGGGGGTGGAGGGAAGCGGCATCTCCCGGGGTGTCTCCGTCCATCCCGGAGCCTCCACTCACGGCTGGCTCTCCCCAGCCCTCCACCCATCTCCCTCCCTCCCCGCCATCCTCATCTGGTCCCTACTAACCCCATCCCTCTGTCTGTCCTCATCCCTCCCTCCCCTCCCCACCCCTCCCCACCCTTCATTCCCCCTCCATCCCAGTCTCTCTTCCCCGTCTGGCCCCCTCCCTCCATCCAAGGAGCTCCCTCCATCTCCACGCTCCCATCCATTCCCCATCCCGCCTCCATCCACCTCCTCGTCCCTCCATCTCCACCCATCTCCATCTCCCCATCCATCTCCATCCCTCCCCACTCCTCCATCCATCTCCCATCCCTCCATCCCTCCCCCCATCTCCATCCATCTCCCCATCCCGCCTCCATCCAGCCCCATCCATCTCCCCATCCCTCCCTCCATCTCCCCATCCTTCCCACCATCTCCCCATCCTTCCCACCATCTCCCACTCCTCCATCCATCTCCACCCACCTCCATCTCCCCATCCCCCCGCCCAGCCTCACCCAGCCCCACCCATCTCCCTGCCCCCCACTGTCCCTCCCCCCCCCCCCCGTGTTCTCCTCCCACTTGACCCCAACTTGAGGCAAACCCCAACCCCTCTAAAGTGTCCCGGGGTCCCCATGGGGTCACCCCACAGTCACGGGGCTGAGCACCCCCAGACTGTCCCCATGGAGTCACCAGCAGAGATGAGGTGAAGCCCCCCCCCCCCCCAAACCAAATTGTCCCATGGAGCCAAGTCCCCCCCCAAAAACCATCCCTGGAGTCCCACAGGGCTGAGCCCCCCCAGAATAACCTCGGGGTCCCACAGGGCTGAGCCCCCCCAAACCACCCCTGGATCCCCACAGGGCTGAGCCCCCCCAAAACATCCTTGGGGTCCCACAGGGCTGAGCCCCCCCAAACCACCCCCAGATCCCTGCAGGGCTGAGCCCCCCCAAAACATCCTCGGGGTCCCACAGGGCTGAGCCCCCCCAAACCACCCCCAGATCCCTGCAGGGCTGAGCCCCCCCAAAACATCCTCGGGGTCCCACAGGGCTGAGCCCCCCCAAACCACCCCCAGATCCCTGCAGGGCTGAGCCCCCCCAAACCACCCCCAGATCCCCACAGGGCTGAGCCCCCCCCCCAACATCCTCGGGGTCCCACAGGGCTGAGCCCTCCCCCCCCCCCCCGAATGCCCCCAGGGTCCCACAGAGCAGAGCCCCCCACCCCCCAGCATCCCCCAGGGTGAACCCCCCCTCCCCTCCCCGCCCCAATCACCCCCAGGGACCCCAACATCCCCCCCCACCCCCCCCAAAATCCACAGCCCCCACCTGCCCCCTGGGCGCCCAGGGCCAGGCCCAGCAGCACCAGCATGGTGGGGGGTGTCCGGCCGCTGGTGGGTGTGTGTGTGTGTCCCCCAAACCCCCCGTCTTGCACCCCACAGCCCGGTCCCAGCACCCCACACCCCGCTCGGGGCGGGGAGGGGTGTGTCGGGGCGGGGGGGGGGGGGACACACCCAATACGGGCCAGCGCCGGGCGGGCGTCACCAGTTGCCGGAGCAGGATGCTCGGGTGGCTGCCACCGGCGGGACATAGCGTGTCACCCCCAGTTTGTCCCCACAACTGCCCCCCCCCCCCCCCCCCCGCGCCCCCCCCATGCTGGGAGACCCTGGTCTGACCCCCCCCCCCCCCCCTCCCCCGCCCCCCCCAAAACTCAGGCGACTCAGGCCCCCCCAGGGGCTGTGCGTGTTTGTGTGTGTGTGTCCCCCCCCCCAGTTTCCGTGTGTAGCGCTAACCCCTCCCCCCCCCAGGAACCCCACCCCCCCAGGAACCCCACCCCCCCAGTAACCCCACCCCCCGTAACCCCTCCCCCCCCGTAACCCCTCTCCCCCCCCCCCAGTAACCCCTGTGCCCCCAAACTGGGAGCACTGGGGGCGCTTCCCCCCATCCTCCGCGAGGGTCACCACGGGAAAGCTGCTCAGGGATGGGGGGTGCAAATGGGTTTATTTGGGGGGGGGGGGGGGGGAGGACGGACACGACCTCAGAGTTTGGTCACTGCGTGGTCACGCATGGCTGTGGGGGCACCAGGGCGGGGACCAGGACCGGGACTGGGACCGAGACCAGACCCAGATCCAGGACTGGGACCAGGACCAGACCCAGATCCAGGGCTGGGACCAGGACCGGGATTGAGACCGGATCCAGGACCAAGACCAGGACCAAGACCAGACCCAGAACGAGGACTGGGACTGGATCCAGATCCAGGACCAGGACCAGGACCAGGACCAGACCCAGGACCAGGACTGGGATTGAGACCGGATCCAGGACCAGGACCAGGACCAAAACTAAGACCAAGACCAGACCCAAGACCAGGACTGAAACCAGGACCAGAACCAGGACCAGGACCAAGACCAGACCCAGAACGAGGACTGGGACTGGATCCAGATCCAGGACCAGGACCAGGACCAGGACCAGGACCAGGACCAGATCCAGGACCAGATCCAGGACCAGGACCAGGACCAGGACCTATAAGAAGACAAACTCCGGTCGGTGCCGTGTCCCCCCCCCCGGTGTCCCCACGTGCCACACCCGTGTGTCCCCGTGCCTGCCCCTCACCCGGAGCCTGGCGGCAGTAGCTGAAGGTGCCAAAGGCGAAGACCACCAGCCCCAAGGTCATTATCGCCGCCGCCACCGCCACCTTCACCGTCAACCCCGGGGACAAACCGGGACCTGCGGGGGACAGAGCGGCCGCGCTGAGGCACCGAGCACCCAGAGCGGCCGGGCGCCGTGTCCCCGGCCCCCCCCGGCCCCCCCCCTCACCCCAGTCCTCCCGCAGGGGCCGGTCCAGGCTGGCGTGGTGCACCGAGCACGTGAAGGTGTCCCCAGGCTTGGAGGTGGTGACCGTCAGGGTCACCTGCGTCTGGTAGGTCCAGTCGCCGGCGGGCAGGAGCTTGGCGGTGGCCCCCGCGGCCACCGGGTCCCCGTTGCGCAGCCAGAGGACGGTCACCTCGCGGGGGTAGAAGCCCCAGACGTGGCAGGTGAGGCGGAGGGCGTCGGGGGTGGCGGGGAGGGGGACGGGGATGATGCGGATTTGGGGCGGCGCTGGGGCGGGGAGGGGACAGTCAGGTCCCTTCCTCACCCCGCCAGGGCCCTCTGCAACGGATCTGGGCGGTGGGCCACGCCGCGGCCCCGTGCGTGTCCTGCACGATGCCCCGTGCAACGTCCCCGTGGAACATCCCCGTAGAACAGCCCCGTGCAACATCCCCGTGCAACGTCCCCGTGGAATGTCCCCGTGCAACGTCCCCGTGGAACATCCCCGTGCAATATCCCCGTGGAACGTCCCCGTGGAACATCCCCGTAGAACATCCCCGTGCAACATCCCCGTGCAACGTCCCCATGGAACATCCCCATAGAACAGCCCCGTGCAACGTCCCCGTGCAACGTCCCCGTGGAACATCCCCGTAGAACAGCCCCGTGCAACGTCCCCATGCAACGTCCCCGTGGAATGTCCCCGCGCAACGTCCCCGTGGAACATCCCCATGCAATATCCCTGTGGAACATCCCCGTGGAACGTCCCCGTGGAACAGCCCCGTAGAACATCCCCGTGCAACGTCCCCGCGCAATGTCCCCGTGGAACATCCCCGTGCAATATCCCCGTGGAACGTCCCCGTGGAACGTCCCCGTGGAACATCCCCGTAGAACATCCCCGTGCAACGTCCCCGTGCAACGTCCCCGTGAAACATCCCCGTGCAATATCCCCGTGGAACGTCCCCGTGGAACGTCCCCGTGGAACATCCCCGTAGAACATCCCCGTGCAACGTCCCCGTGGAACGTCCCTGTGGAACATCCCCGTGCAATATCCCCGTGGAACATCTGCGTAGAACAGCCCCGTGCAACGTCCCCGTGCAACGTCCCTGTACAACATCCCCGTGCAATGTCCTCATGCAACATCCCCGTGCAACGTCCCTGTGCAACATCCCCACACAATGTCCCCGTGCAACATCCCCGTGCAATGTCCCTATGCAACATCCCCGTGCAACGTCCTCATGCAACATCCCCGTGCAACGTCCCCGTGCAACGTCCCCGTGCAACATCCCTGTGCAACGTCCCCACACAATGTCCCCGTGCAACATCCCCGTGCAATGTCCCTGTGCAATGTCCCTGTGCATGTCCCAGACGACGCCCCGTGCACCATCCCCGTGCACCATCCCCGTGCACCATCCCCGTGCAACGTCCCTGTGCATGTCCCAGACAACGCCCCACGCAACATCCCCATGCGTTCCCTGTGCAACTTCCCTGTACAAGTCCCCCTGCAACATCCGTGTGCAAAGTTCCCGTGCAATTCCTGTGCAACACCCCCACACATCACCCCATGCAGCATCCCCCAGGCAACATCCCATTCAACGCCCCGTGCGATGTCCCACACAACACCCTGTGCAACGACACCCTGTGCAACACTCTGTGCAACAACACCCCATGCAACACCCTGTGCGCCATCCCATGCAACACCCTCGCACAATCCCTCCCTGTGCAACACCTCGTGCAACGACACCCCATGCAACACCCCATGCGATGTCCCACTCAATATCCCATGCAGCAACCCCCCATGCAACCCCCCATGCAACACCCCCCCATGCAATGCCCCATTCAATGTCCCACACAACACCCTGTGCAACAACCCCCCATGCAACACCCCATGTGATGTCCCACGCAACACCCGGTGCAGCAACACCCTGTACAATGCCCAGTGCAGCAACACCCCACACAACACCCTGTGCAATGTCCTACACAACATCCCGTGCAACACCCCATGCAACACCCCGTGTGATGTCCCACACAACACCCGGTGCAACACCCCACGTGATGTCCCACGCAACACCCGGTGCAACGCCCCCCCATGCAATGCCCCGTGCAACGTCCCACGCAACACCCCGTGCAGCGACACCCCCCCCCAACGCCCGGCGCACCATCCCGTGCAACCACCCTCAGGCACACCCCCCCCCCCCCCCCGTGCACGCCCCCCCCCGCCCCACGCCAAGCCCCCGTGGGCCGCGTGGCTCACCCCGCCGCAGCGCCGCGGAGGCCCAAACGCGGGGGACCAGCTGGCTGCAGGCCCGGCGCCGGGCTTCGGCGCGCTGCACCCAGGCGGTGCCGTTGTTGAGGGCGGCGGCCACCAGCGCGGCGGCGCGGCGGAGCACCCCGAAATCGCAGGGGTCGAAGCGCCGGGCGTCGGGGTCGTAGCAGACCAGCGGGTTCTTGTTGAAGACGAGGGTGAAGGTGAAGGCCAGCACGGAGCCGTTGGCCGCCAGCGGGCAGGAGCTGGCCACGTGCACCACGAAGGCGCCTGCGAGGGGGGGAAGGGGGTGCAGGGGTGGGCAGGGTCCCCCCCACTGCCCCTGCCCCCCCCCCCAACCCCCCCCCCCCCCCGCCCCGGGCGGGTGTCCCCCAGCTTCTACCTGTCTCCCAGCAGCTCAGCACCAGCCCCAGCACCCCCAGCACCCACATGGGTGGCAGTGGGCGCCGGCGGATCCGGCGCGGCGGGTGAGCTCAGGGGTCTCGCCGCGGCACGCTGCCTTCATCCCCGGCACCCGCTGGCTCCTTCCTCCTCCTCCTCCTCCTCCTCCTCCCCCCCGGGGTTCAGCCCCGGCGCCGCGGGCGATGGGTGAAGCCAAGTGGACTGTGCCCCCAGGGTTGGGCTGGGTGCTGCAGGAACCCCGCGCGCCTTTTCCTGGTGGGGAAACTGAGGCACGCCGCTGTGTGTGTGTGTGTGTGTGTGTGTGGCTCCTTGCGGGGGTACGAGCCGGCTGAACCCCAATATCAGACAGCAGAGAAGCCACCATCCCGCTCAGGGAAATTGAGGCACACGTGGTGCCGCTGGTTCTGGAGTGGGGGGGGGGTGGTGTCACCCAGCTGAACCCCAAGAGGAGACAGTGGAGAAGTCACTGCTGCACCTCCCCCCCCCCCCGCCCGCCCTATCCCAGTGGGGAAACCGAGGCACACCTCTGGGAGGGGGGCGGGGTGTGATCTGGCTGAACCCCAAGAGCAGACAGCTGAGATGCCACCCCCCCGGCCCTCCCACCCTCGGGCAGTGGGGGAAACTGAGGCACGTCGCTGAGAAACAGTTTTATTTTGAAGGGGGGTGGGGGGGTGGGGGGGCGTTATACGGCACGGCTCAACCCTGATATTAGACAGCGGAGAAGCCACCACCGGGCCACCCCACCACCGTTCCCCAGCGCGGGGTGGGGGACACGGGGCACCGGGTTTTATTGCTGCAAAGTGGGGGGGGGGGGGTTGCCACACCCCCACCCCCTCCCTCCGGCCGCCATCTCCACTCCTGCACCGAGCTGCGCCGGCCTCTGCGCTGCCTCGTCCTTAACCTGAGTGGTTCGGGGGGGGGACACACACACAGAAAAATGTCGGTGACAGTCGCCTCCTCCCCACTCCCACTCCCACCCGGGGGACACGCCGGTGTCCGGGGTCGTACCGTGGGTGCTCCGCCGGGCCGTCAAGACCATGGCGATGCCGAGCAGCGCCAGGAGGATGCCCAACACCACGGCGGCGCCGCACAGCGCCGTCTCCAGCACCTCGGAGGGGACGGGGTTTTGGGGGACTACGAGGGGACACACACACACACACACACCCCCAAAAGTGTGTGTGTGGGGGTCACAACCAGCCCCGGTGTCCCGTCCCTGTCCCCGTCCCCGCGCTCACCCCAGTAGGCGATGACGGAGGAGTTGTCTCCTTCCCGGGTGATGACGCAAGTGTAGACGTCGCCGGCAGCGGGTGTCACCGGCAGGTAGGAGAAGCGGACGAAGGCCAGGTCGGCCGTGGGGGTGTAGTGGGTGTGGGTGACCCCTTGGGTGACGGGGACCCCGTCCAGCTGCCAACTGATCTCCACCGCCGGCGGGAAGATGTTTCCCACCATGCACACCAACGTGTTGGGCTCGCCCAAGGCCGGCGGTCGCACCGGGAAGACGTCGGCCACCGGGATGCCTGCGGCGGTTGAGAAGGGATGAGGTGGGGCGGGATCAGTCAAAGGGTCAGGCGGGTTGGAAGATCATCTCCCCCATGAGAGGAGGGTCATCCCCCACCAGATCTGGTTGGTCAGGGCCCCCGTCCGACCTACGGGATCAACCGGATCACTGAATCATGGAAGGGACCTTGGGAGATCACCTCCTGCGTCAAGAGGGACATCTCCAACCACATCTGGCTGCTCAAAGCCCCGTCCAGGACATCACAGGAGGGTTTGGGGTTGGAGGAGACCTTGGAAGGTCACCAACTCCATGAGGAGGGCCATCTCTGACCACATCTGGTTGCTCAAAGCCCCGTCCAGGACATCACAGAAGAACTGTGGTTGGAAGGGACCTCGGAAGGTCATCTCCATGAGCAGGGACATCTCCAACCTCATCTGGTTGCTCAAAGCCCCGTCCATGACATCACACAAGGTTTGGGGTTGGAGGAGACCTTGGAAGGTCACCTACTGTGCGGGGAGGGCCATCTCCGACCACATCGGGATCTTCAGAGCCCCGTCCAGGACATCCCAGAAGAACTGTGGTTGGAAGGGACCTCGGAAGGTCCCCTCCATGAGCAGGGACATCTCCAACCTCATCTGGTTGCTCAGAGCCCCGTCCATGACATCACACAAGGTTTGGGGTTGGAAGGGACCTCGGAAGGTCACCTGCTCCATGGCCAAGGCCACCCCCAACCAGACCAGGTTGCTCAAAGCCCCGTCCAACGCGACCTTGCGTGTCTCCAGGGACGGGGCATCTCCAACCTCTTCCAGTGTCTCACCACCCTCAGCGTAAAAAACATCGGCCTTCGACCACAATCTCCCCGGTTTTAGCTCAAAACTGTCCCCCCCCAGGGCTGGGCGGCCACCACGAGGTCGCCCCGCGCCTCCTCTTCTCCAGCCTGACCCGGAGCAGAGGTGTCCCACCCCCCGGATCATCTCCGGGGCCTCCTCCGGACCCGCCCCAAGAGCTCCGTGTCCTCCCTGTCCTGAGGGCCCCCGGCTGCAGCGCTCCGGGGGGGGCTCGCCAGAGCAGAGGGGGGCCCCCACCTCCCTCGGCCTGGTGGCCACGCTCCTGCTGCCGCAGCCCCGCAGGCGGGTGGCTCCCGGGGCTGGGAGCGCGGGTTGGCCCCTGGCGGCCACTGCTCCAGCCCCCGAGGCCTTCTCCCCTCTCCAGCCCCTCGCCCCCAGCCCGTGCCCGTGGCGGGGGCTGCCGTGACCGTGCCCGTGCCCGTGCCCGTGCCCGCGCGCTCGGCCTGGCTGAACCCCCTGAGGGCCACCTGGGCCCACCTCTCCAGCTTCTCCAGGTCCCTCGGGGGTATCAGCCGCCCCGCGCAGCTTGGGGTCGCCCCCAGGCTCGCGGGTGCCCTTGATCCCAGCGCCTCCGGGGCTGCCGCCGTTCTGGAGCAGCACCGGTCCCCGTGCGGGCCCTCGAGGGCCACCGCTCGTCGCCGGTTTCCACGTAGACGTGGAGCCGGTGACCGCGGGCGGCTCTTTGGATGCCGCCACCCGCCCGGGTCCTGACCCACCAACTCCCCCCGACCCGGCGAGGTGGACGCTGTGGAGCACCACGGCAAAGAGGTGACCGTGGCACATGGCCCCCGCGAGGGTCTGGGCGAACACTGGTCCCGGTACAGACGTTTGAGGGCCACCACCCATCACTGGTCTCCATCCAGACGTTGAGCTGTTGGCTACAACGCTTTGGATGCCGCCACCCGCCCGGGTCCTGACCCACCAACTCCCCCCGACCGAGTGAGGAGGACGCTGTGGAGCACCACGGCAAAAGGACAGTGGTGGCACACGGCCCCCGCGAGGGTCTGGAACAGCACCGGTGCCGTTAAGGACCTCTGAGGGCCACCACCTGTCACTGGTCTCCATCTGGACATGGAACCGTTATCCACGACTCTTTGGCCGCCGCCACCCGCCCAGCTCCCCACCCACCGTCTCCACCCCACCAGGCGAGGGGGCCGCCGTGGAGCCACCACGCTGGCGGCCCCCGCCAGACGGGCCCGATCCCCGCCACGTCCCCTCACCCTTGGCCTCCGGCGTGATGTCGGTGACGGCCTCGGTGAGGGTGCGGCGCAGGCTCTGGCAGAACGTGGCGTCCCGGAGGAGCTGGGGGGGGGTCTCCAAAGCGGGGGGCCAGGGGGGGAAGTCGGGCAGGCGGGGGGTCCAGCGGGAGCGCGGGAAGTCGAACCAGAAGAGTTGGTCGGCGTCGAAGGTGAAGGTGGAGCCCAGGGAGGGCCGGGCCGGCTGGCAGAAGAGCACCTCGGCCAGGGTGTGCGCCGGCGGCTCTGCCGGAGAGGGGGGGTGAGGGGGGGTGAGGGGGGGCACGGGGGGGGCGAGGGGGGACACGGGGGGGGGATTAGGGGGGGTTGGGGGGGGAAATAGTGGGGAAATAGAGGGGGAAGGGGTGGGGTAAAGGCAAGGGCGGATTTGGGGGGGGACGTGGGGGGCAAGGGGGGGTAAAGGGGGTGAGGGGGGGAAATAAGGGAGGGAAGGGGTGGGGAAAAGTAAGGGGGGACTACGGGGGGGGATGTGGGGGGGCAAAGGGGGGGAATGGGGGGGAAGGGGTGGGGAAAAGCAAGGGGGGGGGACTATGGGAGGGGGATGTGGGGGTGGGGAGGGAAGGGGGGGATTGGGGGGTGAGGGTGGTGGGTATGGGGGGGAATGGGGGGGAAGTGGGGGGATTGGGGGGAAGGGGGAATATGGGGGTGCATGGGGAGGTGGGGGGGCACAGGGGGGGTGAGTGGGGGGATTGGGGAAAAATTGGGGGCAAGGGGGGGCTACAGGGGGGTCATGGGGGGCACAAGGGGGTCATTGGGGGCGTAAGGGAGGGGGCGTGGGGGGGAATTGGGGGATAAGGGGGGGCGTGGGGGGAATTGGGGGATAAGGGGGGGCACTGGGGGGGAAGGGTCGGGGGGCAAGGGGGGAGTTCGGGGGGGGGTGGGGAATGAGTCGGGGGGCGGGGGGTCGAAGGCTGCGTGGGCACACGCTCTGTGCACCCACTCACCTGGCCAGAACACACGTGCTCGCCGGTGTGCAACCTCCCCCCCCACCCCACGCGCAACCCCTTGCACCCGTGCACCCCCACCCTGCTCACTCGTGCACACCCTTTCGCCCCTCCCACTTGCGTGTCACGCCCCCCCCCCCCCCCACCCGCGACGTCCCCCACGCCGTGACCTCCTACCGTCCGTGACAGCGCCGGCCAGGGCCACCCACAGCACCCCAAACAGCAGCACCCCACTCCCACCCGCAGCACCCATCCCTCCGGCACCCAGTGGGTGCTACCGGGTGCCGGCACCGCGGCGGGACCGCGGAGCCAATGGCGGGGCCGCGCCGCCCCCCCGTCACGCGTTGCTGGGCAGAAGGTCCCCGCGCGGCGCCCGGGTGCTGTGACAGAGTGGACCCAGGCGTCTCGGGTGGGGGGTAGGGTGCTCCCACAGCCCACTCTCCCCCCACGCCACAAGGATGAGGGTGTCCGTCCCCACCCCCCCCACACTCCTCCTCCCCACTCCCCGCGTGGCGGTGGCGATCGGTGCAATTAATAACCGGCCGCGGATTAATGAGGGGACCCCCCCCCCAACCCCCCCCACGGGCTGTGTGTGCGTGTGCCCCCCCACGCGGGGTGTTGTTGCTGCTGCTGCTGCTGCAAGGGGTTATGGGGGGGGACAAGCGGCGGTGGGGACGTGGCGGCGGCGGCGCGCGCGGCGCGACGCCCCGCCGCGCGCGCTGCACCCACGCAGGGAACTGCACCCACTTGCGCCCACGCAGGCACTGCACCCGCTGCAGCACCCAGCACCACCCCCCTACACCCCTCCCAACGGCGCGGCAGGCCGCGCACCCCACCCCCGCGTGCCCCACCGCCCACTTGCAGCCCCGTAATCCCCTGCACAGGACGTCGCACCCCCCCCCCCCCCGAGTCCCGGGTGGGTTGCACGCCATCCCCCCCCCCCCCCCCCCCCACCTCGGGTGCATCCGCACCCCGGGAGCGCGCGCTGCACCCACCGCACCCTCTTAGGTGCGTGCACACACCCCCACCCGCCCCCGGATGGGTGCAAGGAGCTGCTGCAATCCCTACCCACGCCGTGCGTGACCCCCCTCCCGCCCACCCCCCGCCTCTCGCCATCCCTGACACCCCCACGGCTGCAAGCGGCGCACCCCCCCGCAACGCCGCGGACCCCCGCGGGTGCACCCTTGCAATGCGCCCTTCCCCCCACCCCCGAACTCCCCCTTGGGCGCACCCACTGCACTGTCATGGACCCCCGTGGGTGCACCCCCCGGAACGCACCCACTGCAGCAGGCCCGCAGCGCGCATGCGCACCACCCTGCTTTCCGCGCCACCCCCCCCACCCCCCCCCCCCGGGGCCGGCACTAGGACCCCGCGGAGCCGCTCCGGGCCCCACCGGGCGGGGAAGGGGGGCTTGAATGGGGCCGTGGGAGCCGCGGGGGCACCACGTGACGGCGGGGAGCCAATGGGAGCGCGGGTGACGTAGCGCGTGGCTCCCTTTTCTGCCCTGGGATGTTTTTTTTTTTTTTTTTAATCTTTTTTGCCCCCAAACCGGGGCTTTTTGGGGCGGGCGGCGGGGGGGGGGGGGCGGCGGATGAAGCGGGACCGGGACCGGGGGTCGCGGCCCCGCGTGGGGGCGGCTCAGGTGAGTGACACGGGGGGGGGGGAACCTCGCCCTTCCCCCCCCATCAATGAGCGCGGGGGGGGGGGAGGAATCACGTGGTGGTGGCGAGCTGTCAGTCACGCGCGGTCCCGCCTCCGTGGCGGCGGCGGTGGCCAATGGGCGGCGGGAACGGCGGTGACGGGCAGGTGGAGCGGGAGGGCGGGGCGGCTTTGTGCGCGGCGGCGGGGGCGGCGGTTTGGGGCGAAAAGCGCCATGTTTGGGTGTTCGCGCGGGGGTGGCGGCGGGCAGGGCCCCAAGTGCTGTGTCACGGCGCGGGGTGGGGGGGGAGCGGAGCAGGGACCCACGCGCGTACTGCCGCGCTCGTGTCGAGGGGTGCACCTCAGGACACCCCCCCCACCTTGTTGGGGGGGGGGGAGGAATGCGAAGGGGTTTAGGGGGTTCCCGTGGGGCGACCGCGATCGCGCCGTGGGGGTGAACGGCCCCTTCCACAGCTGGCGTGGGGGTCGCGGGGGCCCCCCCCACGGTGAGGAAAGGTGGAGGGGGGGGGGAGCACCCGTGGCTCGGGCCGCAGCCGTTGGCGTGTCCGTGGGGGTTGGCGCCCCCCCCCCCTTTGCGTGTCGCGAGGTGGGGGGGGGGGGGGATTGGCGCGGCCCGCGTGTCCGTGGGAGTCGGTAGACGCACAGGCGGGGGGGGGGGGGGTGGAAGGCGAGGCGCGGAGGCTCCGGCGCTGAGGCCCGGTGGGACCCCCCCGCGAGGGGGTTGAAGGCGGGTGTGGGGGGTCCCCACTCGTGTCGCGGCACCGCCGTGGCTGGCGGGGAGGCGGCGGGGCCCCCCCCCCCCCCCGGGAGCGCCGGGCTCATTGTCCACCCGCGGCCGCCGCCGCCGCACAAAATGGCGCCCGTCGGCCCCGTCCGCCCCCCCTCCCCCCCATGGCGGGGAGCGCGACAACACCCGCCAACGGCCGGACCCGCCCCCCACGTGACCCGTCGGCCAATCGCCGCGCAAAGAATGGCAGCGCCGGCCAATGGGAGGTGCCAGCGCCGTCTCCGTCGGCTGAGGCGCCGGGCGGAAGGGCGGGCGGGGAGGGGGAGAGCGGCGGGTGAGCGGCGCGGCGCGCGGCCAATAGGAGCGGCGCGCCGGGTTAGCCCCCGCCCAATGAGGCCGCGGCGGGGCGGGGAGGGGCGGGGGGGGTGATGTCAGCGCCGCCGCCGCCCAATGAGCGGCCGGCTGCTGTCTATATAAGGGCGGCCGGGGGCAGGCCGAGAGGCGCCATTTCGCTGGGACGAAGGGACGGAGCGGGTCGGCCCCGGTGAGCGCGGGGGGCGGCCCCAAACCGGATCCATCCTCCGCCGGGCGGCCCAGCCCCCGCCTCCGCGCTCCCGGAGGGCTTCGCCGGACCCTCCCCGGCCTCCGTAGCGACCCCTGCCTGCGGCCAGCGGTGAGGGGGGCCCTCCTTCCCCGCCCCCCCTCCCCCCCCCCCCCCCCCCCTCCCTCCCCTCAGCGGAGCCAAGATGGAGCCCGCCCGGTGATTTCCCCGGTGCAATCCGCTGTCATCCGCCCGCCGGACCGCCGCGGCCCGCCTCATCCCCGCTCTCCGCCGACGCCACCGGTACCCAGCGAAGCGGCGAGGCTTGTATTGACCGGATCGCGGAAGATCGGAGGGACCCAGCGGGGGGCTCCGAAGCGGGGACACCCCCCCCCCCCCCCCCACCACCACCCCCCCCCACTTGAAGCCCCGTTACCCCCCTCAGCGCCCCGCCGCCATTTTCTCCGCGTCCCTTCATGTGAAGGCCGGTGGATGAGCCGCCGCTCGCCGCCGCGCCCGGCCGGAGGAGCCGCCGCCGCCGCCGCCTGAGGCTCGCCCCGCCCGGCCGCGCCCTGCCCCGGGGGAGGGAAGGGGACCCCGGGCTCGTCCCCCCTCCCCGGTGCTCGGTGATGCGCTGACCGGGGGGGCTCCCCCCCACCGGGCCGGGACCGCCGAACCCCCATCGCCGGGCAAAGTGGGGGGGTCGTCGGAGGAGACGGCGGCGGCGGGAGGAGGAGGAGGAGAAGAAGGAGGAGGAGGAGGAGGACGGCCGGGACCGCGGGCCGGCCACGCAGCCGCCGGCATGTTGCAGAATGTGAATCCCCAGAGCAAGTAGGTACCGGCGCCGCGGGGGGGGTGGGGGGGGGGGAGGCGGGTGAGCGTCGCTGTCACGCGTGGGTTGTGGCGGCGACACGAAGGACCGGGGTGTTTCGAGGCCGGGTTTTACCCCCGGCTTCTCTCTCTGCCGCTGCACGGACCCGCGGGAGCAGCCGCTTCCCGCCCACGCTGGAGAGGCTGGGGTTTTGCCCACCCCACCCGTGACCCAGTCACGGAGGGAAGCGGGGTGGGGGGGGGGTGTCACGCTATCGTCCTTTGCGCTTGAGCCGTGCCCTTGGCGCCTCGGGAGCGCCGGGGAAAGGTCCCGCTGAGCCCCGGGCGAGCTGGATGACACCCACGGAGGGGGCTCTGTGGGTCACAGTCCCCCGTGGGGGCATCTCGGGGGAAAGGAGGGGCTTTTCGCCCCGCTTTAACTGAGCGAGAGGTCGAGGGTTTGGGGCAGGAGCCGTTGCCCGCGCGCTCTGGAAACCTCCGGAGCCTTCGTGTCGGCGTCCCAGGGCTCCCCGGTGCCGTCTCTTCATTTCGCGTCGCCACAGGATTTTTTCTCTTTCGGGGTTATTTCGGTACTTTCCCACCGCTGCCGCTCGGCTGGGGGTCGTTGCCACAAAACGCTGGGTTTTGCCCGAAAGTCGATGGTTAAGAATCCGCCGCGCCGCCTCCGTGCATCCGGGGGGGGGTGGGGGGGTGGTCCCCGGAGCCCCCCACCGTGTCCCCACGGGATGGTTTTGGGGGCTTTTCGTGACCAGGACGCAGCGTCAAACCCCGCCCTCCCCCGATTTTGGCGTTGCCATAAAGGTCCCAACCGCGCCGTGGGGGCTTCGCCGTGTCCCCAAATCCCACCCCCCACCCCCCCGGCCGTGGCCTGGGAGAGCGAGTGTCACCCGTCAAGTGTCACCGTCGCCGCGACGCGCAGCAGCACCGTCACCTCCGCGCGCGGCCCCGGCGCGACGGGCTCTTTGTTCGAGGACGAGCCTGGACCCACGCCAGCCTCGCGGTTGCGCCGGCGCACGAGGGCTGGGCACCCCTTAACGGGTGCAACGGGAGTTCATGGTCAAACCACCTTTCCCCCCCCCCCCCCCCCCCCCGAGTTACATTTTTCGGTGGGAGCTCACACACATCGCGGCGTTTCGGAGCGGAACGCCGAGCGTGGCAATGCATCAGACGTTCCTCTTGGGAACCCCACAGCCCAACCTTGATGATTTTTTTTTTAAAATCTATATTTTTACATTTTTTTTTTTTTAAGCGGAGGCGCGGCACACCCCCGCCCGCCCCCCCGCGCGGAGCTGCCCCGCTAACCCTGTCTCTCCTTTCAGGATTCTGGGGGAGGGCAATGCCGGGCTCATGGGCCTGGCGACGGAATCGACCCCCGGCAAGCGGATCCGCAAACCCTCGCTCCTCTACGAGGGCTTCGAGAGCCCCACCATGGCGTCGGTGCCGGCCCTGCAGTCCCCCCAGGTGAACCCACCTCCGCCCGAGGTTTCCAACCCCAAGAAGCCGGGGCGGGTCACCAACCAGCTGCAGTATCTGCACAAAGTGGTGATGAAAGCTCTCTGGAAGCATCAGTTTGCTTGGCCTTTTCGTCAGCCCGTCGACGCCGTCAAGTTGGGCCTGCCGGTAACGAGCCCGCAGGGTGGGGGTGGGTGAAATTAGGGGGGCAGGGGGGAGGTGGGGGGGGGTGTGTGTGAGTGTGTCTGGGGGGGGGGTGTGGGGGGTGTGTGTGTGTGTGTGTCCCCTTTGCTTCTTCCCCCCCCCCCCCCCCGGCGCGTGCAGGCAGGGGGTGTTAGGCAGAGATACTGTTAAATTCCATCCTGCCTGACCCCAAACACGGGGGGGGGGGGGGAATCCCCCCCAACCACCACCCCCCCCGCCCGAATTCTGCCCGTGTCTGTGTGTCCCTTTTCCTCCTCCAAGCCTGAGAGTGCCAGGGCCAGCGCCGTCCCCCTCCCGGGGGCTGCGCCATAGAGCTGCAGGTGCCTGGGCTGTGCTGTTCCCCCCGGGGCGGGGGCGCATAATTCATACCAGCCCCCCCCCCCCTCCCACCCCCCCCCTTCACCATCAGCCCCCTTGTAGGCGTCCAGGCTGGTTTTGGGGACATCCTCAGAGCCGCTGTCACCCCCCCTTTTTGCCCCGATGTCCCCTACAAAGGTATGGATGAGGTGACGCAGCCGCTCTGGAGGTAACCCGGACGCTTCCCCCGCCTAATCTCTTGTGCCCTGAATGCGTTTTGCAGATTCCCATCCATGAATTTGTAGAAGACATCTTGTGACCCCAATATTAAACGCCAGCCCCCCCGTGCACCTGTGGCGCCCAAGGAGTTAAAGCCCGGAGGTAATTTCCAACGTAGGTTTTGCTCTTAACAAAAAAAAAAAAAATACAAAAAAATTTTAGAGTTAGCTTCTCCCCCTTCCCCCGGGACGTCTGTGCTCTCAGGGGCCGGCTGTCCCCGTAGCGTAGGCTCCCCCCTCGCAGAGCTGGCTGCTCCCCCACGTATTTAGGGACCCCCTTGTCCCCCCTCCCCTGGGCAAAAGGGACAGTGGCACTCTCGGGTGGGGACCAGGGCCCCCCGTGCACCCCCTGCCTGCGCTTGGGTGAGGAGTGAGAGCTGGTGTGTGAGCTGGTGGGTGTTACCAATGTGCTAGGTGGGTTTGGTTTGGTTTTTATTTTTGGGGGGGGGTGGGGGGGGGAAGCGCAGTGGCGGTCACCGCTACGTCCCTGAGCGCCCGTCCTTTCCTGGCAGGATTATCACAAAATCATCAAACAGCCCATGGACATGGGGACGATCAAAAGGCGTTTGGAGAACAACTATTACTGGGGGGCTGCGGAGTGCATGCAGGATTTCAACACCATGTTCACCAACTGTTACATCTACAACAAGGTGAGAACCGCCCCGGGGGGGGGGTCCCGCGGGGGTCCCGCCGCCCCTTCCCGGCCAGTTGCTGACGCCGCCTCCCCCGGTCCCTCCAGCCCACGGATGACATCGTGCTGATGGCCCAAACCTTGGAGAAGATTTTCCTGCAGAAGGTGGCTCAGATGCCGCCAGAGGAGCAGGAGATCGTGGTGCCGGTGGCCAAGAACAGCCATAAGAAAGGAGCGTCCCGGGCGGCCGGTAGGGTCGCACCTCGGGGGGGGGTGGGTGGGTTGGGTGGGAGCGCGGCGGAACGGGGTCAGGAGTGGGAGTGGGGCCTCCCCCGAGGCTCACGGCGACCGGTTTCTTGTCTCGGCCCCAGCGCTCCTGGCGGGACTGACGGCCGCTCAGCAAGTGCCGGCTGTCTCCTCGGTGTCCCACAGCGCCGTGTACGCCCCCAGCGCCCCCGACATCCCCACCACCATCGTCAACATCCCCCACCCCTCGGTCATCGCCGCCCCGCTCCTCAAATCGCTGCACTCGGCCGCCCCGCCCGTCCTGCCCGCGCCCGCTCCCACCCAGCCCGTGGCCAAGGTAGGCGAAGGGGCCCATTTTGGGCCGGGATCCGTGCCGTTGGGGCTTTTTTTGTGGGTTTGGTTTGATTTTGTTTTTTTTTTTTTGCCTCCACCTCACCGTGTGGCTTTTTTTTTTTTTTTTTTTTCCTTTCCCTCTCGTTTTTTTTCTGGTAGAAGAAAGGTGTGAAGCGGAAAGCGGACACCACCACCCCCACCACCACGGCCATCATCGCCACCAGCGGCGAGTCCTCGCCCTCGGCCACGATACTGGAGGCCAAAGCGGCCAAAATCCCCGCCCGGCGGGAGAGCGGCCGCCCCATCAAACCCCCCAAGAAGGATTTACCGGATTCTCAACAGCACCAGACGTCCAAAAAGGGCAAATTGTCGGAGCAGCTCAAATACTGCAACGGGATCCTCAAGGAGCTGCTCTCCAAGAAGCACGCGGCGTACGCTTGGCCCTTCTACAAGCCCGTCGACGCTTCGGCGCTGGGGCTGCACGACTACCACGAGATCATCAAGCACCCCATGGACCTCAGCACCATCAAGGTGTGGGGCTGGGGCGGGGGGGAAGAAGGGGGGGAGGAGCCTTTTTTTTTTTTTTTTTCCCCTGCCTTCACTGTTTTGTCCCCCCCTCCCCCCCGCAGCGGAAGATGGAGAACCGGGATTACCACGACGCGCAGGAATTCGCCGCTGACGTCCGGTTAATGTTCTCCAACTGCTACAAGTACAACCCCCCCGACCACGATGTGGTGGCCATGGCTCGCAAGCTGCAGGTGAGGGGGGGCGCTGGGGGGGTCCCCTAAAAAAAAAAAAATATATATATATAAAAGAAATGAAATAATTGCGCTGCGTGCTGCCCTCGCAGGATGTTTTTGAGTTCAGCTACGCCAAGATGCCGGACGAGCCGCAGGACGCCAGCCCGCCCTCGGTGTCGGCGCCGCTCGCCGGCCCCCTCTCCAAATCCTCCTCCGAGGAGTCCTCGAGCGACGAGGACGACGAGGACGACGACGAGGAAGACGACGACGAGGACGAAAGCAGCAGCGAGAGCTCGTCGGAGAGCGAGGAGAGCTCCGACTCGGAGGAGGAACGCGCCAACCGCTTGGCCGAGCTGCAGGAGCAGGTGAGGCGGCGGCGCAGGGGCCGCCCCGCCCGCCCGGCCCCCCGCCCCACCTCCTCCTCACCCCCCTGTCTCCCCCCACAGCTGCGGGCCGTGCACGAGCAGCTGGCTGCCCTCTCGCAGGGCCCCGTTTCCAAACCCAAAAAGAAGCGGGAAAAGAAAAAAAAGAAGAAATCGGAAAAACACAAAACGCGAGGAGGAGGAGGAGGAGGCGGCGGCGGGGGCGAGGAGGAAGCGCGGGCGCGCCAGGCCCAGCTCCGTAAGGCCAAGAAGGGCGGCGGCGGCGGCTCCAGGTGGGCAGAGCCAAGTCCCAGCGCCGTGCGGGACATTGGACTTGCTTATTTTCTTTTTTTTTTTTTTAATTTGGTTGGGATGGCGCCGCGCAACCTTTCAGAAGGACTTTAATTTTGTGTTTTTTTTTTTTTTTTTTTTTTTCCCCCTTCTCCCCCCGCAGGAACTCTTCGAAGAAAGCGGCGAAAACGGCGCTGCCCCCGCCGCCGGCGCTCTACGACTCGGAGGAGGAGGAGGAGAGCAAACCCATGACCTACGACGAGAAACGGCAGCTCAGCTTGGATATCAACAAGCTCCCGGGCGAGAAGCTGGGGCGGGTGGTTCACATCATCCAGTCGCGGGAGCCTTCCCTGCGCGACTCCAACCCCGAGGAGATCGAGATCGATTTCGAGACCCTCAAGCCCTCCACGCTGCGCGAGCTGGAGCGCTACGTCCTCTCCTGCTTGCGGAAGAAGCCTCGCAAGCCCTACAGCGAAAGTAAGCGCCTGCGGCGAGGGGCTGGGGGGGGGGGGAGCCCCCCCGCGTGGTGTTATTTATTTTATTTTTTTTTTTTAGCCATGAAGAAGCCGGTGGGGAAGACGAAAGAGGAGCTGGCGCTGGAGAAGAAGCGGGAGCTGGAGAAGCGGCTGCAGGATGTCAGCGGCCAGCTCAACTCCACCAAAAAGCCCCCCAAAAAGGGTGAGTTGGGGGGGGGGGGGTGTTTGAGCGGGGGGGCGGGGGGAGAGATACAACGTGGGGCCGGGGCTGACGCTGGGGCGCTGTGACCTTTGCAGCCAGCGAGAAGCCGGAGTCGGCGCAGCAGGTGGCCGTGTCGCGGCTCAGCGCCTCCAGCTCCAGCTCGGATTCCTCCAGCTCCAGCTCCAGCTCCTCGTCCTCCGACACCAGCGACTCGGACTCGGGTTAGAGGGGGGGAGGAGGGGGCGGGGGGGACACACAGACCCCCCCCCCCAAAAAAAAAAAAAAACCCCCACATACACACCCCCCCACCACCACTTGCTGGGGGGGGCTGGGAGCGCTGGGCAACTTCAGCAAAAGTTCCAGTGGCCCAGCCTGGGGGGGGGGGGGGGGGCACCCCAGCGCCGGCCCCACGGACTCTTGGGGTGCTGGGGGGGGAGACACCCCAGTGTTTACACGCTGGGGCGAGGGGAGCCCCCACCCCCCACCCCTTTTTTTTTTTTTTTTTCCCCTCCCCAGCAGGTTTTACTGTTTGTTGTTTTACGGTGGGGTTTGCTTTGGGGTTTGGGGTTTTGTTTTCGTTTTTGTTTTTTTTTTTTTTCTTGTTTGTTTGTTGGGGTTTTTTTTTTTGTTTTGTTTTGTTTTTTGTTGGCTTTTTTTGTTTGTTTTGTTCTTTTTCTGACTGGTGGGATTTTTTTTTTCCCCAAGGGGGGAAAAAATTGGGGTTTTTAAGAGAAAAAAAAAAGGGGGGGGAGAAAATAAATAAATAAATAAAAAAAAAAAAAAAAAAAAGGAAAAAACCGTAAAAAAAATAAAAACCTTTTAAACACAAGAAGGAAAAAAAAAAAAAAACACCTCACACAAGCCACCCCCCCAACCCCAGCGGGCGGGGGGCGTGCCAGCAGTTCGGGTTTGCTCTGGGGGTGCCCCCCGCCCCCCCCCCCCCATCTCTGGAGGATTTTTAATTTATTTGCGCCGCGTCGTGCTGGCGGGGGGGCCCCGGGATGCGCCTTGTACATACCCCCCCGCCCCCCCGCCGCCGCTCAGGGCAGCATGGTCCCGCCGGGGGAGGGGGGAGGGAGGGGCCGCCGGTTTTTTACGTTGACTGTATAATTTTTTTTTTTTTTTTTTTTTACTCATTTTGTTGGGTTTTTTTTTTTTTTTTTTTCTGCTCCTTTCCCCCCCCCCCCTCCACCCCCCCCTCCACTCTTTAGCCCCTTAGAGCCGTGTTTTCATCTGACTGTATGTTTCGAACCTTTCGATTCTTTAACATGTAAATAAAGAAAATATTATTCGAGTTGAGCCGGGCTGTCCTGTCCCTCCCCGCGGGTTTAATAAATCGGGGATTCCCCCCCCCCCCATTCTGTTCCCTGGGGGGGTGACACACACAAAAACCCCCCTCCCCCCCCCGGGCAGCAGCATCAATTCATGGGGCTCCTTGGCGTTGGTTTTTATCACCCCCTCGCTTTGGGGGCAAATCCCGCAGTATCAGCTGCCCTGTCACCCTGCACAGCCCCGGGGGGGCCCGGGGGTCCTGCCCCACCGCCCCCCCCCCCCCCCCAGTCACCCCCCAATCCCCACCCACCAGTATGATTGGGGGGTCGATGAGCCGGGGCCAAAGATGGGGGGGTGCCAGGCTGGCCCCAACCAAATTTACTGCTGTTCAGAAGCGCCCGTGGGGGGGGGGGGGGGGAATGTCAGAGGTCAGAAATGGGGGGGGGGGGGGGATATCAGGGGTCAGAAATGGGGAGGGGGGGTGGGGGGGGATAGCAGGGGTCAGAAATGGGGGGGGGGGTGTTTGGTTGGGAGTGGGGCGCAAGGGTGGGATGGAGGGATGGATCTGCAGGGGGGGGTGGGGGGCACAGCTGGGAGGTGCCGGGGGGGGTGCAGGGCTGAGGGGGGGGCACCCTGGGCTCTTCCTGCCCGCCCCCCCCCCCCCTCACAAGACTCCCCGCTGGTTGCGAGCGCTGTTCATCTTCATGGCCTTGATGATGAGGATGGTGCCCACGATGATGCCGACGATGCCCACGGCCAGGCCCAGGGCGCACACCAGGGTCTCGGTGCTCTCGGAGGCGGGGAGGGGCACCTGGGGCTCTGCGGAGGGGGGAGGGAGGGGGGTGAGGATGGGGCGCTGAGCCCCCCCCCGGCTGCCTAAAAGGGGAGGGGACCCGGCCCCCTCCTCACCCCAGTGCCTCAGGATGGGGGTGCTCAGCCCCTCGTGCCCCACGCGACAGTCGTAGTAGTCCCCCCGCGCGGGGATGAAGGGCAGGTAGGAGAACTTGCGGAAGGTGTTGTCGTCCCGTGGGTAGAACACGGTCTCGAGGACGCCGTCCGTCACCTCCTCCCCGTTCTTCAGCCACACGATGGAGAGCACGGCCGGCCAGAACTTCTCCTACGTAGCAGATCAGGATGTTGGGGTCCCCCAGCTCCTCTCGGGTCCTTGGAGAACACCGACACCTCAGGGGTCACTGCGGGGAGAGGGAGAAGGGGGTTAGTGCAGGAGTGCCCGTGTCCCCCCCTGTGCTCCGTGCACCCCGCTGCTGGCCGGGCTGGGGTGAAGGTCACGCCGTGGCTGGTTCGTTTTACCGATGGTTGCCCGTGAGTTGTTGGAACATCTTCCTCATGATCTCCAAGCTATGTTTGGCTACAGCCAGGTTCTGCAGAGCGCCCTGTGCCTCGAAGCTGGTGAAGGTCCCGAACTCGGGCAGGCGCCAGACGGTCCTCCTTCTTCTGCAGGTCCACATGGAAAATCCTCGTCGCCGTTGAAGTCCTGCATGAATTCCCCGTCCTCCTGCTGCGTTGATGTGAGGCGCTGCTGGAACTCGGCTTGGTGGCATCGCGTCCCCCACTGGTGGGAGATGGGTCTGAGGGGCGGCAACCCCCGGCCCCGCCCGCTCTGGGGCAGCAGCACCACAGTCCCCTCGCCCCCCAGGACACCCAGCCTGGGGCAGGGACCCCCGCAATGGGGACAGGAGCCCACCCTGAGCCTCTCCCTTCCCTCGGGGGTCCCACAGGGCTGGGAGACGCCGACACACCCCTCCCCAGGAAAGGGAGCACTCCCACACCCACTCTGCCCCAGCCCCGACTCCGGCATCTCCCTGCCGTCAGGAGGTTGCCTTTCCTCATCAGCCCAGGCTGGGGCCAGTGACAGGCTGCGGGGACCAGGGGGGCCTGTCCCCAGGCGTGCGGCGGGGTGGGGGGCGGCCCCAGGGACTTGGGCACCGGCCGTCCTGCCCCACACGAGACCCCCACATTGGGCACAGCCACTGTGAAGGGACACCCAGGAGCAGGGCGTGCTGCGGGGACCTGACCCCCGGCACTGGGGCGCTGGGGACAGGGGGGCAGGGAGGCCTGGGCGGAGGCGGGGGGGCAGCGAACGAGTGTCCGGGCCCCCCCCTTGCTGCACCCTGCCCGCCCCGCAGGGGTGCACCTGGGCCCCCCCCCACCCTGCACAGCCGGGGGGCACGGAGCTCCCCACGCCCTGGGCGCCGCCTGCTCCCAGCCCCCCCCGGGTGCAGGGCACCCCCCGCCCCACCTCTGCCCCCAGACCCAGCACCCCACGGCCCCCGCGCCCTCACCCACCTCTCACGGCCCCCGCGCCCTGCAGGGTCAGCACTGCCAGCAGCGCCAGCGGGACGCCCCGGCCCCCGGCCATCGCCTCTCCTGGCGCCGGGCGGCGAGAGCGGGAGCAGGCGAGGGGCAGGCGCTGTGCTGGGGCCGGGGAGCCGAGCGCTGGGGGCCCAGTGCCTGGGGGACAGGGCCCCCCCCGGACTCTCGGCCAATAGCGGGGAGCCCCGGCGCTGACTCGGCTGTTCCCAGGCAGAGCGGCAGCCCAGGGCACCCTGCAGAGCAAACAGGCTGAGGGGCGCCCAGACAGGGTCCCGCGGGGGTGCAGCGTCGAACTTGGGCCTGGCGGCCCCCCCCGAGGGGCGTCTGGGGAGGGGGGGGGGGGGGCTGCCGAGGCCGGGGGGCCGCAGCGCTGGCTGGGGCCGGCAGCCTCTGCCCCGGGGCTGCTGCTCCAGCACGGGACAAGTGTCGCAGGGAGCCCTGCGGGGCCCGGCTCTGCCTGGTGACGGGTGATGCTGCCCAGCCTCGGTCCTCACTGGCCCTCACTGGGACTGCCAGTCCCGGCGCTGGGCAGGGCCGGGGGGATTCCCTGACCGGGCAGAGCGCGGCTCACTCGGGGGTCCCAGCCCCTTCCCGGCCTCCGCTGTGTCGGCGATGGAGCCTGCTCGTGTGGGGGGAGTTGGGGCTGTGCTGGTGGCACTGGTGGTGCTGGGAGCCCACCCAGCTCGCGGCGAGCAGACCTCAGGTGAGCGCAGACCCGTGGCACTGGGAGGGTGATGGTGGGGAGGGTTTACACCCAAAACAGAGCCCGGTGTGGAACTGGGTATTGGGGGATGGAATGGAAAATCAGTAGGACAGGAAGACGATTGGAAAAAGAGGAGGGGGGCATGGGATGGCATGAGGGGGGCATGGGATGGCATCTTTCCCACCTCCCCCAGTTCTTGGGCAACGGAGTTGCTCCTGGGGGTGAATGGGGCAGGGAGCTGAAGTGGGGGGCCCTGACCTCCCCGTGTCTGCCTGTGCAGGGTATATCCAGTTCCAGTTTAAGGGCGACTGTTACTTCACCAACGGCAGCGAGCGGGTGAGGATGTTGACAAGGTACATCTACAACCGGGAGCAGTTTACGCACTTCGACAGTGACGTGGGGCTCTATGTGGCCGACACCCCCCTGGGTGTGCCCCAAGCCGAGTACTTCAACAGCCAGGAGGAATTCCTGGAGAGTACAAGGGCTGAGGTGGACACGGTCTGCCGAAACAACTACAGGGTTTCGAACCCCTTTACATCGTGGAGAGGAAAGGTGAGTGCGTGGCAGCGCGTCGCCCCGGGCCGGGCCCTCGCCGAGCCCCCGTGCTCGCAGAGGGCACAGCGTGTCCGTGCGGTGCCGGGGCACGGCCCCGCGCAGCCCCGAGCAAAGCCCCTGTGCCCTGCCCTGAGCGCTCGAGTCCCTCGCCCCCTCCCGGGGCGCGTCCTGCCTGGGGAGCGCAGGGGCAGGCGTGGGGGGCGGCCCCGGTGTTCTGCCCCCAGCCGCGTCCCAGCGCTCTCCCACGCTCCCCCAGTTCCGCCCGAGGTGAGGGTCTTCCCCATGGAGTCGAGCTCCCAGCCCCAGACCAACAGGCTGGTTTGCGCCGTGACTGGGATTTCTACCCCGCGGAGGATGGAGGTGAAGTGGTTCAAGAACGGGCAGGAGGAGACGGAGCGCGTGGTGTCCACGGACGTGATCCAGAACGGGGACTGGACCTACCAGGTGCTGGTGATGCTGGAAACCACCCCGCAGCGCGGGGACACCTACGCGTGCCAGGTGGAGCACGTCAGCCTGCAGCGCCCCGTCACCCAGCACTGGGGTAAGGCCCTGCCCGCACCCTGGGGCAGGCGGGGAGGGGGCTGAGCCCCCCCAGCGCTGAGCCCCTGCTCTCGGCCCCGCAGAGCTGCAGTCGGACGGCGCCCGGAACAAGATGCTCACGGGAGTGGGGGGCTTCGTGCTGGGACTCATCTTCCTGGCGCTGGGGCTCGTCCTCTACGTGCGCAAGAAGGTGGGTGCGAGGGACACACACACACACACACGCACAGCACACGCACACACACACACGCCAGGCGGGGGGCCCCTGGGGTGCCCCCCGGCGCGTGGAGCGGGGGCTGCCCCTGCTCCGGCACTGACCCCGTCTCTCTGGGTTTCAGGGCGCCCCGTTCCCCGTGTTGCAGGTAACGGCCCTGTCCCCCCCCCGGCCCCACGCCCGGCTCCCCGCTCCCCGCCGGGGGCCGGTCCCCACCTGCGCCCAGGGGCAGCGCGTCCCTCGGGAGCGTGTCCCCCGGTGGGGCCGGGGCAGAGCCCCTGGGGACGCGCCGTGCCCCGTCCCGGTGGTCACCCCCTCTTCTCTCCCCACAGGGCTCCTGAGCGACCTCCTGCCCCCGCGGCTCCGCTCCGCCGCTGCCCGGCCTCTGCCCCCCCGCCTCACCTCCGCCTCGCACCGCCCCGGCCCGCAGCCCCACGGCCCCACGCTGCTCCCCGGGGGGTCCCCCCCGGGTCCCCCCCTCCCGGCCTTGCCTGTCGCTGCTCTGCAGCCCGGCTGTCCCCAGGGCCCCACGGCCGTGGCCCTCAGTCGCTCCAGCTCTGCCTAATAAAGTGTCCCTGGACCCGCTGGCCCTGACTGTCTGGGGCAGGGCGGGGGGGACACAGGGTTGGGTCACCCCCGTTTCCATCTGTGGGTGTCTGTGACAGGGCTCCGTGTCCTCCGTGGGGACCGGATGTGCTCGGGGGCCTGCGGCTGCCGAATGGGGGGGGGGAGGGGGGGGAACACACACGGGACAGCCCGTCCCTGGCGATGGGGGTGGGCTGCATCACGCCGACACCTCCGGGATGACAACGGGGACGTGGGCTGACGCGTCCCCTCCCCTGCTCATCTCGGTGGCTCAGTGTCCCCCTCCCGGTGCCTGACCCTGCTGGGGGGGGTGGGGGGGAAGGAGCTGGGAGCAGTGCCCTCGGGGGGGGGGGGGGTATGCCGGGGGGGCGCACCCCCCCCAGCCCCAGCACTGATTGCCGCTGCTGTCCCTCCCGCAGAGGCCCGTCACTGCCCTGCACCCCGACATGGCCCCGCGAGGGCCCAGGGGTTCTGCCCCCGCCCTACTGCCCCCTCACCCCACCCCAGCCACCCTGTTCCCCACCACCAGTGTCCCCAGGGTGACTGGGGGGGAGGGGGGCTGGTGACAAAGAGGCTCGGCAGTGCCTGGGCTGTCCCCAACCACCTTTACTGCTGCTCAGCGGCTCCCCAGAGCCCAGGAAGGCAGCGGGGGGGCGCATGGGGCTTGGCAAGGGGGCACGAGTGGGAAGTGGGGGGCTGGGGGGCACGGGGCAAGAATGCAGGGCTGGGACGTGGGGACAGAGCTGGGTGGTGCCAGCGATGGCTGGGGGGGCACCCTGGGCTCGGCCCCCCCTCACTAGAGGCCCCGCTGGCTGCAGGTGCTGTTCATCGCCACATTTCCCGAGGATCAGTTGGGGGGGGGGGGGGGTGCATCTCGGACCCCCAGCGCTCCCGCCCCACACCACAACATCCCCAGCGGCCGGTCCACTGGTGCTCGTGCAGTGACACTCCTGAGGGGACCTGGGCCCCCCCCCTGCACAGCCGGGGGGGGACGGAGCTCCCCACGCCCTGGGCGCCGCCTGATTCCCCCCCCTGCTCCCAGCCCCCCCCGCCCCACCTCTGCCCCCAGACCCAGCACCCCACGGCCCCCGCGCCCTCACCCACCTCTCACGGCCCCCGCGCCCTGCAGGGTCAGCACTGCCAGCAGCGCCAGCGGGACGCCCCGGCCCCCGGCCATCGCCTCTCCTGGCGCCGGGCGGCGAGAGCGGGAGCAGGCGAGGGGCAGGCGCTGTGCTGAGTGGGTCACAGACACGGGGGTGACCCAGTCCCTGTCCCCCCCCAACCCGTCCCCAGTCAGGGCCAGCGGGTCCAGGGACACTTTATTAGGCAGAGCTGGAGCGACTGAGGGCCACGGCCGTGGGGCCCTGGGGACAGCCGGGCTGCAGAGCAGCGACAGGCAAGGCCGGGAGGGGGGGACCCGGGGGGGACCCCCCGGGGAGCAGCGTGGGGCCGTGGGGCTGCGGGCCGGGGCGGTGCGAGGCGGAGGTGAGGCGGGGGGGCAGAGGCCGGGCAGCGGCGGAGCGGAGCCGCGGGGGCAGGAGGTCGCTCAGGAGCCCTGTGGGGAGAGAAGAGGGGGTGACCACCGGGACGGGGCACGGCGCGTCCCCAGGGGCTCTGCCCCGGCCCCACCGGGGGACACGCTCCCGAGGGACGCGCTGCCCCTGGGCGCAGGTGGGGACCGGCCCCCGGCGGGGAGCGGGGAGCCGGGCGCGGGGCGGGGGGGGGGGACAGGGCCGTTACCTGCAACACGGGGAACGGGGCGCCCTGAAACCCAGAGAGACGGGGTCAGTGCCGGAGCAGGGGCAGCCCCCGCTCCACGCTGCCGGGGGGCACCCCGGGGCCCCCCGCCTGGCGTGTGTGTGTGTGTGTGTGTGTGCGTGTGCGTGTGTGTGTGTGTGTGTCCCTCGCACCCACCTTCTTGCGCACGTAGAGGACGAGCCCCAGCGCCAGGAAGATGAGTCCCAGCACGAAGCCCCCCACTCCCGTGAGCATCTTGTTCCGGGCGCCGTCCGACTGCAGCTCTGCGGGGCCGAGAGCAGGGGCTCAGCGCTGGGGGGGCTCAGCCCCCTCCCCGCCTGCCCCAGGGTGCGGGCAGGGCCTTACCCCAGTGCTGGGTGACGGGGCGCTGCAGGCTGACGTGCTCCACCTGGCACGCGTAGGTGTCCCCGCGCTGCGGGGTGGTTTCCAGCATCACCAGCACCTGGTAGGTCCAGTCCCCGTTCTGGATCACGTCCGTGGACACCACGCGCTCCGTCTCCTCCTGCCCGTTCTTGAACCACTTCACCTCCATCCTCCGCGGGGTAGAAATCCCGTCACGGCGCAAACCAGCCTGTTGGTCTGGGGCTGGGAGCTCGACTCCATGGGGAAGACCCTCACCTCTGGGCGGAACTGGGGGAGCAGTGGGAGAGCGCTGGGACGCGGCTGGGGGCAGAACACCGGGGCCGCCCCCCACGCCTGCCCCTGCGCTCCCCAGGCAGGACGCGCCCCGGGAGGGGGCGAGGGACTCGAGCGCTCAGGGCAGGGCACAGGGGCTTTGCTCGGGGCTGCGCGGGGCCGTGCCCCGGCACCGCACGGACACGCTGTGCCCTCTGCGAGCACGGGGGCTCGGCGAGGGCCCGGCCCGGGGCGACGCGCTGCCACGCACTCACCTTTCCTCTCCACGATGAAGGGGTTCGAAACCTCATAGTTGTGTCGGCAGTACGTGTCCACTGCGGCTCTTTTACGCTCCAGTACATCCTCCCGGCTGTTGTAGTACTCGGCTTGGGGCACACCCAGGGGGGTGTCGGCCACATAGAGCCCCACGTCACTGTCGAAGTGCGTATACAGCTCCCGGTTGTAGATGTACCTCTCCACAAACCTCACCCGCTCGCTGCCGTTGAAGAACTGACACTCAGACTCACCATACTCCTGGAAAACCTCTGTTTGCATAGGGAGGTCGGTCATGGGGGGGCAGGGAGGCACTGTGGAGCCCCCCCCCCCATCCACACTGTCCCCCACAGCCGCCATAGGGCTGATGCTGTGATCCTGCCCTTGAGAGCTTGAACTCTCGCTGGGCAGAGCACAAGGGGACAGAAGCCCAGGGCGGGGGGAAGACAGGGCAGAGCGGAGCCAGAAAGCTATTTCTGGGGTTCAGCAAGGGGGGGACCATCTCCCCCAAACCCAGCAAGCCCAGGGCATGCGTGGGACCCAGCCCCACCATCACCCTCCCAGTGCCACGGGTCTGCGCTCACCTGAGGTCTGCTCGCCGCGAGCTGGGTGGGCTCCCAGCACCACCAGTGCCACCAGCACAGCCCCAACTCCCCCCACACGAGCAGGCTCCATCGCCGACACAGCGGAGGCCGGGAAGGGGCTGGGACCCCCGAGTGAGCCGCGCTCTGCCCGGTCAGGGAATCCCCCCGGCCCTGCCCAGCGCCGGGACTGGCAGTCCCAGTGAGGGCCAGTGAGGACCGAGGCTGGGCAGCATCACCCGTCACCAGGCAGAGCCGGGCCCCGCAGGGCTCCCTGCGACACTTGTCCCGTGCTGGAGCAGCAGCCCCGGGGCAGAGGCTGCCGGCCCCAGCCAGCGCTGCGGCCCCCCGGCCTCGGCAGCCCCCCCCCCCCCCTCCCCAGACGCCCCTCGGGGGGGGCCGCCAGGCCCAAGTTCGACGCTGCACCCCCGCGGGACCCTGTCTGGGCGCCCCTCAGCCTGTTTGCTCTGCAGGGTGCCCTGGGCTGCCGCTCTGCCTGGGAACAGCCGAGTCAGCGCCGGGGCTCCCCGCTATTGGCCGAGAGTCCGGGGGGGGCCCTGTCCCCCAGGCACTGGGCCCCCAGCGCTCGGCTCCCCAGGCCCCAGCACAGCGCCTGCCCCTCGCCTGCTCCCGCTCTCGCCGCCCGGCGCCAGGAGAGGCGATGGCCGGGGGCCGGGGCGTCCCGCTGGCGCTGCTGGCAGTGCTGACCCTGCAGGGCGCGGGGGCCGTGAGAGGTGGGTGAGGGCGCGGGGGCCGTGGGGTGCTGGGTCTGGGGGCAGAGGTGGGGCGGGGGGTGCCCTGCACCCGGGGGGGGCTGGGAGCAGGCGGCGCCCAGGGCGTGGGGAGCTCCGTGCCCCCCGGCTGTGCAGGGTGGGGGGGGGCCCAGGTGCACCCCTGCGGGGCGGGCAGGGTGCAGCAAGGGGGGGGCCCGGACACTCGTTCGCTGCCCCCCCGCCTCCGCCCAGGCCTCCCTGCCCCCCTGTCCCCAGCGCCCCAGTGCCGGGGGTCAGGTCCCCGCAGCACGCCCTGCTCCTGGGTGTCCCTTCACAGTGGCTGTGCCCAATGTGGGGGTCTCGTGTGGGGCAGGACGGCCGGTGCCCAAGTCCCTGGGGCCGCCCCCCACCCCGCCGCACGCCTGGGGACAGGCCCCCCTGGTCCCCGCAGCCTGTCACTGGCCCCAGCCTGGGCTGATGAGGAAAGGCAACCTCCTGACGGCAGGGAGATGCCGGAGTCGGGGCTGGGGCAGAGTGGGTGTGGGAGTGCTCCCTTTCCTGGGGAGGGGTGTGTCGGCGTCTCCCAGCCCTGTGGGACCCCCGAGGGAAGGGAGAGGCTCAGGGTGGGCTCCTGTGCCCATCGGGGGGTCCCTGTGGGAGCCATGGCAAGCCCTGTGGCAGTGGGGAGGGCCCTGACCCTAATAACGGTCCCTTCCCAGTGGGGAACGTGTTGATCCAGGCTGAGTTCTACCAGCGGGACGAGAGGCTGCAGCAGGAGCGTGGCGAGTTCATGTTTGATTTTGATGGCGACGAGATTTTCCATGTGGACCTGCAGAAGAAGGAGACCGTCTGGCGCCTGCCCGAGTTCGGGACCTTCGCCGGCTTCGAGGCACAGGGCGCTCTGCAGAACCTGGCTGTAGATAAACAGAACTTGGAGATCATGAGGCAGAATTCCAACAACTCACGGGCAACCATCGGTAAAACCAGCTGGCCACAGCATGACTGCTGCCTTCACCCCAGAGACCCTCCGAGGGCCCAGCACTCTGCTCCCCCGGAGCACAGGGAGACACGGGCACTCCTGCACTAACCCCCTTCTCCCTCTCCCCACAGCGAGTCCCGAGGTGACGGTGTTCTCTGAGGAACCCGTCGAGCTGGGGGACCCCAACATCCTGATCTGCTACGTGGAGAAGTTCTGGCCGGCCGTGCTCTCCATCGTGTGGCTGAAGAACGGGGAGGAGGTGACGGACGGCGTCCTCGAGACCGTGTTCTACCGAGGGCAGGACCGCACCTTCCGCAAGTTCTCCTACCTGCCCTTCATCCCCGCGCGGGGGGACTACTACGACTGTCGCGTGGGGCACGAGGGGCTGAGCACCCCCATCCTGAGGCACTGGGGTGAGGAGGGGGCCGGGTCCCCTCCCCTTTTAGGCAGCCGGGGGGGGCTCAGCGCCCCATCCTCACCCCCCTCCCTCCCCCCTCCGCAGAGCCCCAGGTGCCCCTCCCCGCCTCCGAGAGCACCGAGACCCTGGTGTGCGCCCTGGGCCTGGCCGTGGGCATCGTCGGCATCATCGTGGGCACCATCCTCATCATCAAGGCCATGAAGATGAACAGCGCTCGCAACCAGCGGGGAGTCTTGTGAGGGGGCAGAGCCCAGGGCTCTCTGTCTCTTCCCAGCCGGACCCTCTGCACCCTCCGCCAGCCCTCGCCTCAGCCTGGCAGGAGCTGCTCACCCCCTCAGTCCCCCATATCCCTGTCCCACCTAATCAGCACCCCCTTTTCCCACGCTCACCCCACACTGACATGCTGGAGACGGCTCCAGAGCCAGACCTGTCAGGGGCCCGTCCCCACAGGAGGCTGGACCACTTCCCGTGGCTGGGGCGAGCCAAGGTGGCACCTGGGGCCACTTCGGCTCACCCTTGGCCAGGGGCCATCATTGCAGAGTCGGGGGGCCTGCACTGGTCCCAGTAGCCAGCCCACACTGCCTCCACGCACGGGCTGCCCTGCCCACAGCCCCTGGCCCCACGGCCATCTCCAGCTGGGGACGCGGCGCTTCCTCCCAGCCCAGGTGCGGGGTCTCTCCTGCAGACCCCTGAAGGGAGGGGAGGTGTGCCCTGCCCCACAGCATCCCCTCGGCACGCAGTCCCGCACCCTCCGCTCCTGCTCTGCTGCTTTGGCACCGTAATAAAGTGGGTTGGGATTGATTCTGCCGTGCAACCCTCGCCGTGAGTCCCTTCTCGGCACCATGCTAGGGGGTGACTGCAGCTCTGCAAGCCCCCCCCCCCCCCCCCCC